TTCATTAGCGGCCCGATCGACTGTTGACACCTACCACTAGCATACTGATAAAAAGCCTTAGGGTTCTTCTTAGCATCGCTAGCCAGCCGTTCCTCGACCTCCCGTCTCGCAGATCTAATTTCCCGCTTCAACGTCCGCGTGATCCTCCTATATTCCTCATAGTCCGTGCTATCTCCCGTCCGCTTGTACGCATCCCATTTCCGCTTTTTATCCCTGATGAGAGCTTTATTGGATTTAGTTTTTGCGACGAACGACGTTCTGGCACGAGACGTTAAGGTACAGGATAACTTGGGAGATTCGGACCACTGCGCGATCACGTGGAATATCAAGCGGACGAAGAGTAACGCCAAACTGAGGAAGGTTTCGTACAACTATAAGAAGGCTAATTTCGAGAGACTACGTGAATGCGTTTTGGGCATCGACTGGGAGGCGCGGCTCCGTGGGCTGACGGTAGAGGAGCAATGGGGGGGCGTTCAAGACGTTATTGCAGGGCTTTATGGAGGAATGCATCCCCAAGAAATCCATAAAATCGGGCAGGCAACCGGTCTGGTTTACGGGTACGAGCGAACAGGACACAAAATGAACCGACTCGCGAGGACGCGAGTCGGTTCATTTTGTGTCCTGTTCGCTCGTACGGAGGCGGATTGGAAGTTTTTATAGATGTGATCCCAAAACATGAGATAAGAAAGAATTTTGAATTACTTGACAGCTTGCTTCTTGGTTTACGCTCCCTAATACATAAACCATCTGGCGACACTGGACTCAATCACACTTAATAATGTCTGCGCCCATTTCCTAGTTCTCTGCTCACCGCTCGTGGCTCTCTCCGGTTCCTCAGAACAGAAACAACTGTGTTCCCCTCACTCGGGAATGAGAAACTCTCACGTGTGTCTTACTGAGAGCTTACTCTGCGACTTAGGCCTGTACATTTATCTGTATTCGGGAAAACAGCTTTGCCGAATGGGAGATGCGATCGTCAAAAATGTGGCCCATCACACAGTACAGTGACGAGCCAATGACGTCGCACCTCCTTTAGATTGGGTTTCATATGGTTTATGTAATTTCCAGCATAAGAGATATACATTAACCTCTTTGGATGTTTTATGGAAGTAAGGTCGCGCCTTGTAAAAGGTGGTACACATTCATTAGTGATTCAATCGTAGTGAAAAGAGGAAGGGAGATTTAGAAGTTTTTACTTTTGGGTCCAGCCTGATCTTCCTCATCTTCAAGAAGAGTTTCTGATACTTTGTTTAGCTCTCTAGAATGTAAAAAAATAACTATTAAGCTATGTCACATTTGCGACACCCAGCTGTTTCCCCCTATCTTTAGGCCTTCTGTGATCATTTTCATTTGCCACATATGTTTGGGCAATGTTCCATCCGAGCAAATTGGCCTCCTCGCAGTGAGCCTTAGGTATAGCTTAACACATTGGTTGCCAAGCAGAATATTTAACATGTATAATGTATCTCCAGTGATGCACTTGGCAGTCAATGTGTTAAAGATTATATTGAGCTAATAATAGCAACAAATGTGGCAGTATCTACTGGTGCAACTGGCTTAGTCCAAATGTAAAGGTTAAGCTATTGGCCTTGGTGAAGGATCAAGCTTGCCACTTTGAATCTTGTACTCAGAGGAATTTTTAATATTTAAAATTTTTAATAAGAAAAATAAGAAATATTAACATTCATTGGCATTGCATGGTCTCATGGAGGAGGAGGTTAAAAGCCAACTTACCTGAATAGGAAAATAAATTAAAGGAGAAGTTTCTTGCTCTATCTTGAGAAAGGAGATCACTGAAGCCACACTCCAGTATAGCTTCTGTCACCCCATCCCCTGTCCCCTTCTACCCTTATTTTTCTGTCTTTCTTGGCTTCATGAGATCCCATTATTACTTGTGCACCTGCCACTTTGTTCTGGTGTTTCATAGCTCATTTTTCCAGTGGATTTGAGTTCTGGCCCTGTGATCTTGTCGGTTTGGTTCTTGTACCTGATTATCTGTACTTATCTCTCTTCATAAAAAAAGTTTAGGCAAGAAATGATGCTGTCAAATGTTTCTGAAAAATCTCTTCTCACCAGTTTTTAAAAAGTCAAATTTGAAAAAAAAATTATTTTAAAGTTATTATTGCTTTTAGGCTGATTTGAATCTGGACTTGCCCCATGTCCTTTTTCATTATCAAGGATTATATCAGGAGTCAGGAGTCAGGAGAGTTAGTGATATCAAGAGGCGATTTCGCCCATTTCGATATCACGTGTCGAGGTCGAGCGTTCCTTAATTTTAGGGTAGGCCTAACCCTCTTAAAGCTATATATTTTTGTATTTTTGTTTTGTTTTTTTTTTATATTTATTATCCTAGTTGCTTACTGTCTAGTACCTACGTCAACATTGCCCCCCACCTTTTTGCCTGTCCATGAAAGCATTATTATATAACGGGTGAGACTGATTATGTGTTTGCCTGTGCATTGTAGTTCACTGACATGAAGTGAGAAGATTGTGGAATATCCTGATCAGAAATTCAAGAAAAATGGGTGTCACCCCCAGATTTAGCATCTGGTGTGGTGTATGTTTGGCCTTGATGGTAACTGTGTGGTTAGGGTTCTGGGTCCCACAAGTGCATGGAGAAGATGCTGAAGACAATGATGTTGAAGATAGTGATTTTGCTGATTTTGAGGAATTTGATAGTGAAGAATCTAGGGAGAGACGTGTACCTTCAGCAGAAAAGCATCATTCAAAACAAGGACCAGCCAGTGATTCCAAGGGTAAAGAGAATATCAATGATGAAGTCCAAGAGGAGGAGGGAGATGAAGCCTCTGTTGAAGTGAGTCATGTCAATGTGTGCATATGTGTATTACCAGATTATCATTTTCAAAACTTGCTTGTGATAGTAATCTTTTCGTATAGCTCATACCTGAACAATTTTAAGATAATAAAAAAATCAAAATGTCATGACCTATTCATTCTTTTTTTTTGTGAAAGTTACTGTAATTTTGGTGACTTGCTTTTCTCTTCCTGGAATGTCATGCTCTTTTTATGCACTTAGTGAAATGCTTGCAAAAATAGATTGTCCTGTCAATCAATTAGCAGGCCAATCCCTAAAAGTCAGATGAAGACAGCAATAAGTATATTACTTCTCAGTCTGCCTAATGTTATTCTAAAATTCTACATTCTCAGACTGTGCACATATAAATTTCATGAACTGCTACAGAGTACATAAGTATGGTAACTTGTGTGCATTTTCATGGGTTTTTAGAAATTTTATTCATAGGAAAGGCCTACACTTAAGAATAATATTTAGAGATTAAAACATGACTGAAATGGTTGTAACAATGGCAAGCATAGTCTTTTTTAAAATTATTTTTTGATATTCCTGAAGCAATTCTCAGTTGAGGTCATTAAAAGAAAATGGCACTGTGTAATATGGGATTTAAAAAGAATCAGTTCTTGCTGATCATATGTGGATTGATGTCACCAACCTTGAGTTTTGGCAACAGAAAGGTATGGAAATCCTTCTGGGGTACATTTGAGAATGATGCTATGTAGGGTCTACTCACCTTATGGCCTCAGACCATTTTGATTCCATTGTTCAACTTTGTTTTCCTAGAAGTGACCAATAGACAGCCACACCTGTTTTGTGCAGTCATAGAGGACAATCTATATGTTGTCTCTCTGTTATAAATTCAATATCATTTAATTGCTTACTTTCTCATGAACCTCTGAAAGTACCAGTACACCAAACTATATGGCAGCTTGAAGCCAATATTTAAACCCCAAGACTATTACTAATTCCTATTACTCGACTCAGCAATACTGAGTCAGCACTCATGTGAATGGATAGCTAAAGCACCTGGACAAGAAGGGGTTTACTTACTACTGTGTTGCAGATATGTAGAGGTAATTTCATTTACAAAGCATAGTCTAAGGCTTAGCAATACTGAAGAGTACCACAAGGTGATACTTCTCATCTTCTACCTTTATTCCCAGGAGCTTATTAAGAAAATGAATGAAATGAACTTTGTTGTCATAAGATTCCATCATGTTAAAGTACATTCAAATTCAATTGCCAATTTTCATCGCCCCCTACATGTGCCATTTTATCATGAGAACCATCCAACTCCTGAATAGTATCACCCTCTTTCTCATCTCTAATGGGAAAGGGAGCCAGTGTCATCTCTTGTTTTTTCCATACCTTTTAAAAATTTGACTTAGTACTATAATTTAAGGTTTTATTCTATATCCAGGAAGAGGATGAGTTGGAGTACAGTGACTTTCATGATGAGGAAGAGTTTGAAGGTTTTGAAGGTGGAGCCCCTACTGGAAAGTCTACTCCACATCTTACTATAGCAAAGGTTTGTGAAACTTGACTTAGTTAATCAATTATGAAGCTCTGTGCCTTGACTTAGTCTTAGTTGTTCAATAAGAGATTTGTGCCTTTTCAATGGTTCATCACAGCTAAGAGTGAGAAGGGAATTTATCAGAGCTTACTGCAAGACTTACTATATATTATCTTAATCACCTATGAAATGCAAAGTTCAATCTGCCCGTTTGGTTATCTCATCTGTTTGCAGGTGGTCCCAATGCTGCCCTTCCCTTTTGGATATATATGCCTTGCTTTACAGTTCTTGAATATGTATCATTCAATGTATAATACAGATTATAATATTGAGTTACAATGTCCATAAGAAGAATTTCCTTGAACCTCAGGGAATGGCCTCTCAGCTCTTTTCATCTGCCCTTTGTCACAGAATAACTACAAAGACAGAATTATCTGTGTATACTTGGTCACAATTTACAATGATGGTGATGACATGAATAGGAGAAAAATGCATGTGCAGTAAGGGATTTGGCATTGCATTTTAAGATTTTATCACATTATCTGACTGATAAAAATAACCAGTGATCTCAGTAAGCAGCTTCTACTACTGCATTTAAAAGTAAACAGAACCAACAGGGCAAGAGCTTTTCTTGTGTGCTTCCCCATATATCTTCTTGATTAGATTCTAATGGATGAGTTTGGTTCTTTAGCTCTTTGTTTCATAATCAAATAGAATAATAGCAATATTTAGATGCAGTTTCAGATTTTCTTATGTCTCCAAAACCAAAAAATTTTCTTTTAGTAAATGAATTAGCCCACTCACACAAGTGCTTAGTGTAAGGGCAGGATTTTTCTGGTGCTTAAAAATATATTTTTGGATGTGTGAATGTATCCTTGTTGCCTGGCATTTGTATTAGCTGTTTTCTTACTTTCAAGGATTAATCAAATGTTTCTGCTGCTTTATACATTTTAACACGGCGAAACTCAGACTCACAAATGTGCTGTATTCACTTATTAGGTACCTGCATCTGCAATAGGATCAAGATGGGACAGTTACATATTGGAGATCATGATGGTCACAGGTCTTGTCATCTATCTGACAAATTTCATGATGGGACGTGCTAAGAATGCACGCTTGGCTCAGGCATGGTTTCAGAGTCATAAATCTCTCCTTGAGGAGAATTTTGTACTTGTTGGTGAGTCCCTCTCAAATTAAATACAAATTTGTTTTTTTATGTGCTTCATAATTGCTGGAGTATTTCATAGTGTTTGAATAAGCCTTTAGTGGAGAGAGTATTTATATCTTCAAGAATTATTATTTTTTAGCACTTCCAGGAACATTTATATGGCCTCCAAAATTTTAAGTACAATTTTGCATTGCATGTTTTGCGTTATCTACTGTAGACCCTATCTGAAATTTAATGAGAAGGGTAGAAAAAATAAATAATTGATTTGAGGAAGGATTTTGATCTTCAAACTCCAAGGGAACCTGATTTTTCTTATTAGCCTCTTTTTTTCAGTAAACTGAGGTTGGCATGAATGCATAGGAATGAATTGGAAAGATGAAGGCAAGTATGAGTGAGTTTCCAAAAGTAATGTCACTGAATTTATTTTGACTTTACCTTTACAGATATATGGTTCAAACTGAATACAAGTATTTAGTCATGTTACCTTTGCACATCCTATTTTTCTACATAACCTCCATCATGTTCCACACATTTTCTCTAGCATTTAACAAGCGCATAAAAGCCTGTGTGGTAAAACTCTGACAATTCGTGTCATCCAGAAGATCAGATGGGAAAATATTCTCCATCCACTGTACTGTTCTGACCTAATGCTGAGTGACTCCTACCTCTTTGGTTCTATGAAGGAATCCTTTCATGATGCACACTTTGCAAGTGATGATGCCTTGAAACATGCTCTTCAGTGGCTGAAGGCACAATCATCAGAGTTTTATCTTGCAGGCTTCAATGCTCATGTTAAATGCCAGAGAAAATGTATGGAACATAAACAGAGGTTATGTAGAAAAATAGGACATGCATGGGTAACATGGCTAAACACTTGTATTCAGTTTGAACCTGATATATATAATGGTTCACTAAAAATAAATGATATAATTCAGTGACATTACTTTTGGTTGGAAACTCCCTTGTATTTGTTGTAAAACCTTACGTCTCTATAAATTTTTTTTAAATTGCTGGAGGAGTTCTGAGGAGTGTCCATTTGAAAAGAACAGGATGTTGCCATATTCTGTTTCATCATTCAGATTCTCTTGCTGGATTTGCTCTACAGTAATGGGCAAGGATTGCTCTACCTCCATTGTGACTGCTGCAATGTTTTCATTCTATTGTTTCTTCTCTTCCTCCACTCAAAATTTTCCTTCATAGGCCATTGACATTGATTTCTGCAAATTGTTCTTTCAAAACAGGGATACGTTAGGCACATCTTCCTTTGTAAAATGTGACCCCATTGAAACAATCCTGAATTCTTTCCTTTGACTTTCCAAGTTTCAAATGAATCACTTCACTTCCAGACAATGAGAATGAGTTGCTCATTGGGAAATGAACTTTTGGGAAATAAATACATTTGAGGATTAAGAGACAAGAAATTACTGATATTATTTTGATATGCTCTCTCACATTTGAAGGCTATTGTGCTTCCAATTGATCAGCAGATATCAATATAAGGCTTAAGCATCAGATTTTACAAAACACAGATCTGCTTCATGCTCATGTCTTCTCCATCAGCAAGCATTTGTTGGCATCTTGCATTAGCTCTTTGTATCTTCATTTCTATTCCAGGTGATGATGGAAAGCGTGAGGTTGGGACAAGTGGAGGAGAAGAGAATCCTACATACCCACTTGTCAAAGAGTCTGAGCACATTTACACTTTGTGGTGCTCTGGGAGGCAGTGTTGTGAAGGAATGCTGGTCCTACTCAAATTCCTGAAGGTATCACAAGCAGATCTTTCAGCACTAAGAGGATAGAATCTAACTGATACTTTTACAAAAGATCTCTAGGGAGATCAACTCCTTAGAAGCTAGAAAATTCATCACAGCATTCATGTCACTTTTCATACCCCTTCAGCAGATTGATTGGTAGCACATTGAAAAAATTCCTTGAAGCCATCTTTATTTGCCAAATATGTTGACATTTTGCCAAACACCATCAAAGACCATTCTCTTCTCATGATAAAAGTAAAAAAAAAAAAGGTTTATTGCAGCTGGAAGTGCCTTAGGCGCTTCCTTTTGTGATCACTCCATGTATAACCTAGAGATTCAGGCTCTTATGCCATGAGGTTTTCCTCTGTAGCAAGGTATGGGTCCCCTTTTGTTTGTAAATAACCTTCATCTGATGTAGAGACAAGACTTGGTATGGTGCATCAGTCAGCTGGTGCGGAAGCAAAGTGATCGTTTGGAGATACAGTTCAACCTTGGCCAGGATGACATGGATTCTTTTGTTTGGTGCATTGCCCAGAAGAAAACAGCTGTGAGGCTCGTCAAGGAAATGTATGATTTGGTGAGTGTATTGGGATACTGTATTCACCTACATGCACCTTCTGGGCTGCAAGTGACATTCTTTGTGATATTTCAACAGGGAACTTATTGCCCAGAAAGACGTCTAGGAGAAAAGTTTGGTCTTTCATCTTCCTTTATTCTGATGTCAGAGATTCCTGAAGCACTCACATCAATAGTTGACTCCAAAGTTACTGCTACACTTAACAAGCTGGCCCATATGGTGGACTATATCCATGTCTCTGATCAGTACTCAGGGCCCAAGAATCAGGGCGAGTGAGTTTCTTCTCTTTTTTTCCTGAGATTTCCTAGTAGTTTGAGTCACAGATTCATGATTACACTTTTTAATGGATTTGGCCTGAAAGTTTGGACGTCTAGGTCAGTGTTTCCCAAACGGTGTGCCGTGAGATTTCAGAGTTTACAAAAAAAACTTAAAAACAAGAGGGAACGCCATCTCTCAGTGGAAAACAAGCTAAGAGTTGCACTATCATGCCTCATATCAAACTGCTGTGTTCAGCAAAGTAAGCACAAGTTTCCCATTGAAAGTAAGTAAATGGCTAGGTGTGCTGTGGAAAGTTCAAGTGTCCTTATGTGTGCTGCAAATGGAAAAAGATTGGGAACTACTGGTCTAGGTCATCTATATAACAGTCGTTCAAAGTGCAGTCATAAAATGTGAATTTTTTCATGAATGAAGTGAATGGAGTCTAAGCACTGCCCAAAAGATTTCTCTCCTTTTTTACCATAAGGGCTGTTTTTTATGCTGTGTCCTTGTCATAGTATTCATGGCTAAATATGCCATAGGCTGATTTTTCAGCCACAGCTTTTCATTAGGTTTCTTCCTTCATGTAGTTGGGGTTCTTGCTGCTGCCTTCAGATACAGTAACTAAATGCACATAAGTAATTTTTTGCCACTAGTAGTGCCCTTAGTATTTTGTTTTATTTTAACTCTGAAGTGATTCATTTTTGTGTAAGTTTATATAATCTTGTTTCTTCTTATTTGCAGTGTAAGTGAAAATACTATGAATTGTATAAATAAGAACTTGTGTTGTGAAGGAGAAGTGACTTCTCTACACAAATATGATCCTGGAATTTGAGTTTGGAATAAATTTAGTTATTTAATTGTGCTTCAAAGTTGGAGTTTTGAAAAAAGTTATTCAAAAATAAATTTAAAAAAATAGGTCAATGTTTTGTTGTGAATAAACTATAATCCTTAATACTCAGAATATCTGAGTAAATTGAAAAAATAATTACATCGCTATGTTGTATACTATAGGACAGTGGTGCCCTACCTTTTCGACATAGCCTCTCTCCCACAGCCATCACGGGTCAGTCACCAGTATTGTAGGAGACCACTTTAAGGACACCAAAGGGTATTTATTGTGGGTTAAGGCCTCGCAGGCCACTTGTAAGCACCTTGAGGGGCACTTTTTGCCTGCGGGCCATGGGTTGGCACCACTGCTTTAGAAGTTATGCTTTTTTTCCATAAAGTTCTGCAATTTAAGAAAAAAAAGACTTGGCATTTTTTAAACAACTACTTACCCTAATGACTTGGTACCAAAAGGGTTAATAGTGTTTTCAAAAGATGAAGGGTTTTTCATTCATGATTCCTTCCATAGGGCCTAAAAAGCATGGAGGCATTTGTTATTCTTTCTGAAACTGCTAGTTGATTGAAGACTATGGCATTGGAAACAATTATAGGGAGACTGGTGGGAGTGGGAGCTCGCAGACACCATCAACTGAAGTGAAGAAGGTGTTGATCTGTGGATTCATAGTCCCTGGGGAAGGCCAAGCCCATGATCTGACCGTCATAGATTCCATGAAACCTCTCCTTCAGCTTTCATTCTATCTGCTTGATAAGCTGAAGCGATTTCGACTCAGCAAAGAAGTAAGCTTTCCTGTCTTTATGATTGCTTGATTGGCTATTGGCTTCTACTGAAATGATACACATAAATTGCCCACATTGACTTTTAAAGATAATCTGTTCTATGGTTACTTGTCAGAAGATGGATGTTTCTATGAAAGTATCCAATGGGATTCTCTTGAAGGTTTCATCAGTCCCATTTTTAAGCTGGATTTAGACTGTTATGAATGAAACTGAACCTGCAGCAGGATCTGTCAATTGCCTGCAGAAGATTCAATGGTTGTTGGGATGTGAAATGGATCAAGAGACCTTGCATTTCCTTGAATGAATGAGGAATTAATGCCAATAGTTATGAAATGCATCCAATTTATAACTGTGTTTTGTATAGTTTATGGTCATCATTCATCATTTGTTTGTTAATACCAGTACTAGTATCCTGAATTAATTGCTACAAGTTGAAAAAGAAAATAAATACACATTGTTCCAGTGTTGTGAGACTTGTGTAACATTCTACATTATGAATGAGAATGGTGATATGCCTTGAAGGTTGCTGAGATTTTTTTTTCCATATCTCAGGGAAAGCAGAAGGCAGAGAAGAACCGTGCCAAAGTGTATGAGGCACAGATGCGTCAGACACATGCTGCCCGAGCTGAAGCTGCTGCCCAGCGTCGGGAAGAGAAACGACGGCAAGAGAAGGATCGCATGCTTCAGGTTTCTTTGCTTTCCTTCCTGCATCCTCTCCCTCACCATTCAGAATTGCATTCCAAAATGTTAATTGCTGATTGGCCATGTGATTTGTACCAAGCATGCCAATATGATACATTGTACAGTAGAGCTGTCTCACTGTTACTTATTTAGATGGGAAAGACTGTTAGGAGTTACATTATTTTTTTAATTGAAAACTTCAAAAACTTAGGCAGGAGTATGATTATAAGGGAGTTTAAATACTAATGAACCTAAATTTACCATCTCTCTCTGCTTGTTCATAAGGCAAACAAATTTTGGACCTTGTGTACAGTTGATCTACTTTATTAACCCTTAAGCTGACTCTGTGCCTGTGTTTATAGGAGGAAGATCCTGAGAAGCAACGTCGTTGGGAGGAGAAGGAATTACGTCGTCAGATCAAGAAAAAGCAGCCAAAAATTAAGCAGTTAAAAGTTAAAAGCCTCTAGTCCTTCATAGTTTTGCTTTTGTTTCATTTGTATTGGTGAGAGGATGTCCCCTGCTTAAGTATATGATCTGTCTTTGTATGGGGTGTGTTGGAAACAGTGACTCCAATGAATATGAAAATATTCATTTAACTGAAAAACAAAATTGAAATTGTAGGAATGTGAAGACCAACTTATGGAGATAATGTCATGCATAGTTAGGACTTAATGTAACTATTTCTTCACCTTTGACTTACATGCTCTCCTCAAATGACAACTTCATTCATACCTGCTGTTAGAGTGACTAGATTGTGGCTAGAACATCTCCTCTGACACTTTCCAGTTAAAACAAGGTTTAAGGCTTGTTAGCAGGTATGTTGGACTTAGATTGATAAAAGTTTGGCATGAGGAGATCTAGCAATTTTGTGAGCCAAGGAAAATGACTTCTACTTGAAATGACCTAGGTTTGAAACATTACTTGCATCCCAGTCATGGTCTGACCTGCCATGTCCTCCATCAAGTTGGAACTACATCCTAACAACATGAATCTGCAGTTGCTGAAGTTCTTGCTGCACATATATTGCTAGTCTTTTATATTAACTATCTCCCATTCACTATTACCATGTTGAATTTGAAAATTAAATGGAAACTTTGCCATTAATATTTTCAAGTACCTGCAACACTGTATTTAAGAGGATCTTATTCCCTCAGTTTAAACTTTGCTTCTTGGTTAAATAAATACATTCGTATTGTTTGGTGTCTATCTTTCTGACTCACCCTGTACTTCCATAATTGTCAAGACCTATGAGAGACATCATTTCCAGATTTTGCAGCTGAGGAAATGTACTCAGAAATTAGTGATTTTTTTTAGTTTGTTGTATTTTCCCTGTTTCTAGTTTCAAACATATTATTTTAATGGTTGCTAGAATGAGAGCATGTTTCATTGTCCCTCATCATAATAGGATTAATTCTGAAAGGTGGTGGTGGGATTGATTGGAAAAAAAAGGGTGGATCGAAAACTTTTCCTGTAATTGTCTGCTCCAGCTATGCTAGTAACTTAGGAATGGTGTTTTTTAATAAGTGTTTTTTTGTGAACACTATATTAATGCCTCATCACACACATGACATGGAGATTAAAAAAACATCATCTTTTTGCTTGAAACAGATACCTGCTCATGTTGGAATAACTATGGTTAAGTGCTATTTGATTATTTGTTGTCAGTTAATGGAAATTCACTTTCCTTTCTTGATCCAATCATTAAACATCTTGCTGACTTTAATTTAACACTTTTCCTGTTTTTGTTCTTGTTTCAGACATGGCAGAGGTATTTCCTCCAAAAGACCATGTGCTTATAAAATTGCTCAGAATTAATCATAGTTAAAGGGTAAAAGTTCCCCATAAGCAATGGAAAAATTCAGCCTTGAAGAGTCTCCCTAACAGAAAGAATCCTATCTATTATAGTGATATTCTCAGGAAGAGGGTAAAGGGCAGATGGATAGAACAAATAGACAGTCATTGAAAAGAAATTTTCAGCCAGGAACATGCACCTGGTTGCAAATAGCTTCTCTTGTCACATTTCTGTTTGTTCTCTTCTTGATCCTTCACTTCCTATCTCCACCAAATATTAATAGTTTGGTTTGAGGTTTCTAGGAGTTCCTTCAATGCAGTTTCTATTCATGGCTGAATCAGGAACTCTTTCACAGCATTTTGTTGCAAATGTTTCTTGGTTTCAGTGCTTTATCAGCATACAGTCTTTTGGAGAAGGGGTGCATACCAAAGAAGTTGCACACTAATGTTAAAGAGGGGAGGGGAATTTCTTCCTATTTTCAAACTGATAAAAAAATGTTGAGCACCACATATTTGCAACTACTCCCAACAGCAGGAATTATTTTGCCTCGCCCAAAGATGCAGTATTTGTGATATCCATGACATGTGTGATTACGTACTGATCAGAACATTTAAAGAAAATTGTCTGTCCTCTGCAGCCAACAGAATGTTGGGGCAGATTATAATTTGGGGTGGCTATTTTTGTACCACTTTGATAATTTGAGAATCCTGTCCTTGTAGATGTGCACGAACTCTCATTTTGCCCATACTTCCTCTTTGACTGTTGCTGTGATCCTTGGGGCTGTTCTGCATCCTGCATCCTTAACTCCACCATGAAGTACAACAGAAAGGAAAATCTGAACACCTAAGTTGGTAGCACAGTGAATTGGCCTGAAAACAGTGTGTGGAAATCAGAGCCTTGTTCATAAATGTTTGGAAAAATTGAAGCTCTGTTAAAATCCCCTTGCTATTTGTTAAGGACACTGGGTGAATTCAAAGATGATGTTGGTAAAAGGTGTAGTGTGAAATCCATTCCTCACCACTGAATTTGAATTTTGTCCATCATGTTAGTGCGGCATCATGATTTCCTAGTGTTCACAGTGGTAGAACACCAGACTATACGCAAAATGTGACCTTGATTGCCAGTTTGGTGTTGGTGCGATGGGAATTCATATACTTCACCATGAAGTGTTGCATTAATCCCATCAACATGAGTCCAAAACTGATGTTTGTTGAAAGACCTCATCATTTCTGAGCTTGATATGTTTTTGGAATCATCATTGAGGCTGAAGATCAGGAACTTCATTCAATGACATATCAATCCATATGACTCAGACCTGGCCTTGTATTAGAAGCTATATACAGTATGCACCTAATGCTAGTGGTGGCAGAATTTTAGCCTGCATCCATGCAATGAATGCCAAAAAATGAAAAAACTCTCAAGTCTGCTTCCAATTGGCCTAACCTATAATTAGTTTCAGATTACATATGTCTGGAAGGCTTTGAATCCTGGAAAGAAGGAGAAATATAATGGCTCTTGGTCTACAGCATATGGGATGAGGTTATATCATTGGGCTTCAAGCTAATGGTAGTGGTGGGAGAAGCTCTCAGCACTAACCATGAACCATTGGTGCTAAATGCTGGCACCATTTTTTTTAACTCATCCACTCTGCATTCATTGAAGCAAACAGAAAAGGTACAGTATTACATCCGCAGTGAACCTTATTTCTACTTTTGAAGTTTGTTAGATTGTCTGCTTACCATATCAGAGACATCCTCTGCATGACATTTACTAAGGCTGCTTTTTCCATCTTCCAAAAAACAGAATGGAGGGAAAGTGAGATAGAATTAGTTTTCTTGAGGGAAAAAACGGCTTATCAAGACCAAGGTGAAACAAATCAGCTGTGATTGGCTGTCTGTAAGATTGGTGTTACTTGAGTTCATGTTTCTCAGGTTCTTTCAATTTTGCTGCAATTTGGGAAAGGCCCAGTCCATTTCTTCTGTTTACTTTGTGCAACATATTTGCAATAAACAGGATTGAACTATATTTCCATGCTCATTACATCATTTATGTTTGCTTCAGCTGGAAATCTCTATGAGAGTTTAAAATAATGGATTTGAGTAGATGTGCATGGCACAGTCAGGGCCCTTTGAACCCAAGGATCCCCTTTCATGGAGATTCCTGTGTCTGCAACTGAGTCTGTAAATTAATTGAATATCTTTGAATCTTCATTTTTACTTCTGTCCACCTACTACCCTCTCCAGCCAATCATCCACCCCATCTAGGAAAGAGGTCTAGGCATCTGGGATTTGGTTGGTCTTGGCTTAATATTTCATTTAGAAAATACTCTCACTGCAGTTGAATTCTTACAATGAAATCTAGGTTATAGCTATGAGTAATACCTGGTCCTGATCTAGTATCCATAAGATACATGTGTACATGAGATACCTTGCTTGTAGTAAGCTTGGTTATTGTGAGAAATTTGGATGCATCATTGTAGTGTCAATACTTGACACTACAATGACTATACTGTGGAGTTCTTCATTTTTAATCCTGCTCCTCAGTTACTGGAATTCCCATTGTTGGGAACATGTGTGAATGACAATGCCTAATGGTTTTTTTTTACCTGGAATCAGACTTCCTGGTGGAGTGTTGTTTTTTTGCAATGGATGTGAATGTGCAAGGGTGGGTGGTAGTTGAGAAAATTCCCAGTCACCACAAGATCACATAATCTTCAGTTGCCATTGCAGGCCACTTGGTTTGTTATCAATGGGCATGAATACTAAAATAGCCTCTTAGTCATCAGTTCAGTATTCAGATTGCAATTCCTGGGTAATTAGCTCAATATAGTTCCAATAAAATCCTTTTGGTTCTTCCCAGATATTAGACTTATAAACCAGGACTATACATGAGCATACATATCACCAACAGCAATGCATCCTGGGTTTCAATCTTGTAATCTTGGTAATTGCAGCCTCATTTATCATGAACCTATGTTATGTAATTTTTTCCTGTTCCAAGTAGTAACTTTATGACTGAGATCAACTGACTTATATTAGGATGCAGTTGCCTGTCACAAAACAGGTGTTTCATCAGTGGAATATGGCTGTTCAGCCAGCAAGTGAAATTCAAGAACAATGAAATCACTTTAGCCTGGTTTTCCATGTCATTCCTGTCATTGAATTGTGAATTCAAAGTGGATCCCTACAATCTAGATTGTACGCTCTCGTTACCAAAAGCATCACTGCTGGTTCCTACATAATGGGAGTGGATCAGCATGAAAGTTGTGCAAATGTTAACTTGGTTGAGTGTTATACGTAGTGGTAGGTTTGAATTGCATGGAAAATTACCTCACCATTACAGATGAACTGGTAAACTTCATAATCAATGCAGCAGGAGTAGGGTTAATATTTATTGACTTGCAGACTTTTCAGATGATCAAGGTGGCTCATGTGCAAGTGAAATCAGATGTGGCAGTGAAACCTTTTGCACGTTTTTGTCATCAAAGACAAAGGAGTGCAGGGTCATGAATTTTTCAGAACTGTACCCAACGTCAGGGCATCTGGCCCATTTCTCTCCAGATGGATCCCTTCTGGCAAGGGCTCATGGAGTTCGAGTCTTCGTGCATAATGCTCATTCACTGCATCTTTTGCATTGCTTCTCCTGCTGTGATACTGTCAGTGTAAGTGAAAACCCTATTTCTTGTTCCTTGCAGATACTGTTCACTTGACAATTTTAGGTCCTATGCTTTTCAAAAGGTCGCTATAACATGTAAGTATAATTGTTCAGTCAGAATTAGAGAAACGGTTGAACAGTCCACTGAGACTTTCCAAGTATACTAGCAAACAAGATGGCTTTCTCATTTTCAGGTTTCTTAAAGCATTATACCGTGTGCAATAGTGTAGCGAGGGGGGGGGGGGGATAAAGCTAAACTTTCAAACAGAACTTTCCCCTTTCACAAGCAGTTCTCCATTTTTGCCACCTTCTATTCTCTTTTCTTCCTCCCAAGCATCTGATGATCACCTTTCACCTATATGTCTGACTTTTGTCAAGGCTTTCAGACACCTGGGACAATTTCACTAATCCCTCTCCCACTTCCATTCCACTGACTTTTTCAGGTTTTCTGGAACCCTCACTGTCCAGGAGAGAAATCAGCTGACACCAAAAGGAATTTACTGCAACCTCATACTAACAGAATCTGATCCTAACACAACCTTCTTCGGCTGCCTCTACTAATTTCAATTTACAGTCTATATCTTTAGCAGGAAAAGGTCAAGCTCACCTGTATGTTGGAATTTCGGGTGCCATCAAAGGTATACTGGCACTCCTTCCTCTGCCCACTTTGAATCCATGCATCAAAAGTCCCTTCAGGAAGCCCACCAATTGCTTCAATCTATCAACAAGACATAATTGAAAATTCTTCAAATTACCCAGAGTTAAGAAGTGGGTGAGAGGTGCTTCAAAGTTTTTTCAAAGCATTGGCCAGATTCTCACATAGTACAGTGCAACCTCAAGTATGATGTCAAAAAAATAATACATGGAAAAGATTAGGGTTTTACTGTATCATAATAATTATAATAATAATGGCAAGGCCTAAGCTACATCATATTTTTTAAAGTTGATTCTGGAGATACAAGTATAATAATAAGGGAATTTCATCTACCTGCTTGATTCAATATTAAGTCCATGTCAAAAGTTCCCAAATCCTCTCATAATGTCTACTAATTCCCCTGCACCAACCACCCCATCCACCACCCTATGGCTTTTACATTGCTGTTCAATTCCTTTAGCAAATCCAAACCCCTTTACACAGCTTCCAAATGCCTACATTGCCTCCTAACTAACCTCCAAATGCTTACAATACCTCCTAACTACAGGGTGTTCAAAAAGTCACTGTGCAGTAGAATTCATTTACTTTGTTGCATGTATTGTACTGCATATCACATGTATTGCATCATCAAAGACATGAATTTCCACTCAATACTTTATCAAATAATAGCACCATCCCTAATTTACATAATTTATTTCTGTACTTCCTAGCTACAGTGAGGCCTCCTAGGTCATGTTGTGAATTCTACTGCACAGTGACTTTTCGAACACCCTGTATCATGTGCAGACCCATAATTCTCCTACACCACCTCCTCTATCTCCCATGATCTCCTCATCACATTTGCTCATGGTACTACCCACAACAGAAAATTGCGCAAAGAGACTCACTTCTTTGTCACGGAGATTCAGATCACCAGCAAGAATGACTGGGGAGGAAGACTTCTTCATTTCTCTGAAGGCAATCCTCAGCTGCTCCATCCTTTCATCAGCAAAGTCTTTGGTGCTTTCCAGGTGTGTATTCATGAGAGTCATCACTGACCCATTATTGAACAATCCCTGCAAGGGTAATGATGAATTACCAGTCCAAAGAGGAAGGACACTGATGTAAGTGAAGAAGGTTGGTAGGAGGGCTGACACTTCTTGGAGTGCACACCATCTCATAAAGCACAAAGGAAAAGAGAGAATGCAGAGAAGTAAGGTGTTATGATAACCATATGGAGGTGAGAAGATAAGTTGACTTCTAGGTGAAACAGGAAACCCTAAGACTTCACCCTAGACATTGCATGTGTTTACTCACACTGGACATCGACAGAATCTTCAAATTAAATGTATCAAGTGGGGTTGGAAAGAACTTACAACATTCATTTACCCAAAGGAAATATAATTTTGCCATGATTTCTCTTATTATGTGGCAAGATCATGAAGGCTGCCACAGCACACTTCATCATTCTGAGAGCCCTACAGCCAGTAATCCTACTCAAGAAAAATGTCAAGAATTTTCATGGTGTCTTGAGTTATAATCTAGAAATTCATGGCAATCCCTCAAGTCATTCTGGGAAAATAAAACATTCATTAAGAACAGTTACTGTATGAATTCCCTGAACATATAAATTTCATGTGAGTATCTTTAAACAGCTGTTTCTGAATAATAATCTCAAATGTATGGTTACAGTCTTCTTGATCAAAGGAGTTTTCCTTCCTAAATCTGATCAAGAAAAAAATATTTTGGGCTCTTTTAAGAGCTTCAATAAACATAGTGAAACCATATCACTGGATAGAGCAAAAAAGGGTTTCTAAAAATATGTAGGAATCAGCTCTTTAACTGCCCTGCCCCCCAACAGGGCAAAAAATCAGGACAATGTTTCCATCAATCAATAGCAAAACTGCCAAATTCAGTTCATAATTATATTCTGTGAGGATAAAAATAACATTTCAAATGTATATTGCATCTTTTAAAGCTGAGAACTATGTAGTCCACCAGGACTGGTGCTGACATCTCCCAACTTAGCATACTGGTGGGTGAAGACTAAAAAAATCACACGAATAATTTACAATTGAATGACATTTTAAATAGTTCATTTGTATATACATGTTCCATATTATCAGAATGCTCTTTTCAACATTTGAATTGACACCTTACTCAAAGTTGCAAAATAATTTGGAAAGAAATGGTAAATTTTTTAAGTATACATCAGTGTGGCCATTTTGCCAAAACTTTGACACAATATTTCAGGAATGGTTTGACATACAAAACAGAAACTTTTTTTTCAATAATATTCATCATAATATCAAAGAGCATGCTGCTGAGCAACAAATTTCTTAGTTTCAGGTGGTTTTGGCAGAGGATGACAAAATACATATTATGAAGGCAAACTTACATATACTGTTACCTACTCAAATATAAATGCTTGGACCTTTTCATCTTTTCAAATTATAAATGAAAAAGGTAGGAACTATGAACAAGATGCAACCCTAATTGGAGGGTTCAAAATTTTTTCAGGTGAGGGAAACAAAATACCTCTTGATATGATTTCTTGACATACTCTCCTAGCATAAACAGTATGTATCCAGCACTAAGTCTACCATAACACCAAATTTTCCTGGTGTCTGGGCAATCCCCTTTTGATTCTTTCTCATTTTATTTTGGGATGACCAACCTGTAGAACAAGGAGATTTCTTCCCATTGAACTCCCAGGATATGGGATGATTCGGTGGGAATCACATCGACAGGTGGCTCGATTGAGCAGACATGCTGTAAAGTACATCCCATTCCCTGAAACAATGTTGTAGCCCTCCAGGCGGTCTCGGAAGAACTGAAGTGATTCTGGGACCACTTCCTGGAAGAACACCACATCAGGATTCTCTCTGTCACAAAAAAGCATGAACATATTGGCGTGGGGAACAAAATACTTTCATAGCCTATGTTTTGGCAGAAAGGCTGAGATTGTAACCCCATCAGAGAAAAGATGCGAGAAAGCACATGTAAAACAGGTCACTATCCAATCAGTTGCTTGTCCTCCTCTGCAAGAATAGGTATGCATTCTCAATTTAATGTGGTTTGCTACATACTGGTGGAACCAATTGATCTCTCTTTCTTATTTCAAACTTTCCTTTGGCCACTGGTACAGAGTGCCAAAAGCACAACATTTTGAGCCATTTTAGTTTTTGACTGTAGGGAATCCTGACCTCTGAGTAAGATCTTAAGATTTCAAATTAAGGAGATTCATGAATGTTGTACAGGATCACATAGGCAAAAATTGACATTTTTTCCATAAAAAAATTTTTATTTTATGATTTATATATATGTATATATTTGCATCTTTTTAAGATCTCTTTTCTTGGCATCTTCTGCATAATCCATTGTCTGGGTGGGGATTGGGTCCTGGTATGCAATATAAATGTATCAGTAGTATGACATGCAGCAATAGTAGATCAAAAATATGGTGTTGGCCTGAATCTACCCTACATCCATCCAGTTAAAATTTTATCAAATTTGATTTTACCATGCCTAAGGCATAACAGGCAAACAAAACATATGCTGTTCTGATCCTGAGACAAAATGCAGAATGGGCAAGAAAAAGGATCCCTTTTTCTTCAGTGTTTCTGGCCGTGTGGCAAACAGTGCCTCAGTGAATGAGAAACACAACTATCAATGTCAAGTAGTATTGTGAAGTGTACCTCTCTGAGATCTTCAGGGAGATCCAGGACAGGCATCCTAAAAGAGGCTTCAAAGGGACAATTCTACAAAACAGCAACTCATCTACCCTGGTAACAATAGATGGATCAGGAGGAAAATTTCTTGAGCCAGTCAATGGAGATACTGCATTTCACAAAGATATGCCAATCATTTACATCCTCTGTTGGCTATAGCTCAGGTGTCCATGAACATTCTGTGACCCTCAAATTCCAATTTTATGAGCATTTTCAAGTGAAACATTTTTTTTCCCAGATCATCTCCAAGAGCCATGAATCAGTCAAATTTCATCACACAACTTACAGTAGTTTTCAAGGTGTTCACATCGGAGCATACCACAATGTAAGATATAAACAATCCCAATCATAATTATACCAATGAACATTTCTCAATGAAATTTTTCCCTAGTTTGGGTCTTGACACCAAACTTCTTGGATTTGCCTGTCTCAACAACTTTATTCATATCACTTCCATGCTTTGCTGAAAGTGGCATGAAATTGGCATGTTAGTTTTTTTCTAATGCCATGCAAGATGCATGATTTGGATGTGATTTGACATAGTGAACATAAAAGATTAGTGACTCATGATAAAATCATTTTGGAGAAATATAACAAAAATGAAGCAACGAATTGATGCAGGACTTCATTGGAAGGAACATACTCCTGGACGATTTTGATGACGGCCTTGGTGCGTATCTTCAGGTTCCTTGCATCCAGGCCATCCAGATTCCATGTGAGGAAACGGATTAGCTTTGACCCTCCATCTTTGGGTTTCAACCCTGTATCTGGTGGCTTGACCAGAGCCAACTGGTTCTTGATTAAAGATGGAGGAAGGTGGAACATTTCATCTCCTTTTGCATTCCTACTTCCTCCTGGGTAGTCCCTTCAGAAAAATTAAATAATAAATAAATTGTTTCCAATATTTCAAGAAAGAAAAGAATCACATCCCTTTTCAATAGTACTCAAAAGTTTCTTTTTCAGACAAAAAATTTTCTTCAAAAATATTGCCATAGCTAGGCAAAAGAATCTAGGCCTTGTAAGTGCTGTAGTTCTAAAAGAAGTACTCATCACACTGGTAAATGGGTGAATAGGAGTTGAGTTAATATATACCTAGTGTGAAATTCCAATACAATTGACACCTGCACAAGCTGTAAATCATGAGAAAAGATAGCTAGGATCCACATGTAATATACAGCTTTTAATAGAAATGCTCCTGAATTTTTTATAGTGTAGTATATGCAATAGTGAGGCACTATTATTTAGGTTCAGAGACTTCCTGCAGAAACATATGGACCTTTACTCATGGGATAAGGGAAAGGATGTCAAGGAGACAATCCTCTCTAAACCTTTAGATGATGCAATAAACTTTCCTTGAAATACAGAGAGTACCTTGAAGGGATTATTGTCTAATTCAGGATAAGATTTACTGGAATGAATAATGATTGCTATCAAATGATTCCTCTGAGATGAAACAATCACAGAGCTGCTGATGCATGCATATTTATTTGTCAGATAATATACAAGTTGACCCATTTGAAAAGTTTACCAATGAACCGCTATGTACAACACAAACCAATGGACAGAGGAAGCTGAAACTTGGCATGTAAACAGCTGGCAGCATGGGCTTCTCAAATCTGTGATGAAAAAAGTTCCAGCAGATGCACCACCAGTGCACAATTTGCATGTAATGCAGTCTGCAAACAGTATGAAAGGTCTGTGTATAACCATAGACTGTGGAAAGTTAACATGTTAGTGCATACTATGAGAATTAAACTGATACAGAATTTTTATGAAAATGGAAGGAATGCAGAGGCTGTCTTAAGGTCATACCATAGAAGCCACAACAGACACCAAGGTCCATGTGAATAGCATTAGGAAAACTTGTGGTAAATTTTGAAAAGATTGGATCTATGGCCAATATGCCAAAGAGAGGAGGCCTTAGAGTTTCAGAAGACATTTCTGATACTTGTTTCTCACATCCTTAGAAGCCCAAGCTTCCAGTAGTTTACATGCCAAGCTTCAGCTTCTTCTTCCCTTTGGTTTGTGTTGCATGCGACCAGTCATTGGTAAAATTTTTAAATGTCTCACCATGTAAATCCACATGTAATAAGTACCAAAGATCATGGGGGGAAATTCGGAGACGTTTCTATGCCTGGATCTCCAGGCTCAAAAAGTGCATTGAAGTTGATGGGGATCATGTTGAAAAATCTTGAATAAAGGGCCTTTTGAGAGAAAAAAAAATCCTAGTCTACCATTATTATTCCAGAAAAAAATGGAATTTTTTAACGCTCCTACGTATAAGTGCATAGGAGACAGAGCGAACTATGAGGAATATAGGACCATCACGAGGACTTTGAAGTGGAAAATTGGTCTGCGAGACAGGTCGAGGAATGGCTGGCTAGCGATGCTAAGAACCCTGAGGCATAACGAAAGCTTTCAATACCATTCCTCACAAGAGGTTGCTGGTTAAACTAGAGGCGCACGGGATCCAGGGTAGGACGAGCGAGTGGATCAGTAATTGGTTGACAGGAAGAGAGCAACGAGTAATGGTAAGAGTGGAGCAAGAAATGGTTCATGAGATTTAATAAAAGTAAGTGTAAAAGTCTCTTAAAGTCTCTCAGCTCTATGTGAATATTCAAGGGTAAGACAAAGAATAAACCTCTCTGTATAGGAATTTTGTACATTTATTTTGGGACTGATTTTAATGGGCATTACAATACGGCCTTCTATTCAGTCTCTCTGGAAACTGATTAACTTTTTATCATCTCTGCTTTTGGTAAAATCAAGTCTGTCAATGGATTTATACGCATCTCAAAATTCGTGCACTTCTCTGATAACACTGGAAATAAATTTTTAAACACATTTTGGTCTATCATCAATAGTTTTCAAGATAGGACAATTTAAACTTAACCCTTTGTGGTCCAACTTCTTCCCCGGGATGAAATTGAGTCAAAGTTGTTGCGTTATGATAATAATTTTGCTCAATGGAACAGTGCTATTCTTTTGTGTGTTTATAGGCGTTATTTTTACTTTATCAGATGGCTAGAAATTACTCAACTGAAATAGAAATAATAAAACCTCATTCAAACCTATTACAATAAAAAAGTGTAAAAAATTGGACTTTTTGGCCTGCGAAATTTAAAAATAATAGGATTGCAAAGGGTTAAACCATCCTTTGCAGAGATGCAACACAATTCTTGTAACACAGTGGAGGTCGTGAAGGATTTTTTTTAAACAGTGAAAGGGTTAAAGGAATAATGTAAAGTGTGGTAGGTTCTTCTAGTTCGATGGCAGCAAGAGAACAAGAGGTTATCAACTCAAGCTGCATAAACTGCAGGTACGGCTCAGGACGAGATAGGAATTCTTTACTAGTAGGGTGGTGAAAGCGTGGAATGTGTTAGATGACAACGTATTGACAGACCCTTCCATGAATTTTTTCAAGAAGAGACTACATGCTTTTATGGACAAAAAGAGATAATTTTGGAAATACCAATTTACTTAATCGGGTTCATCAACACTTCAAATGTTGCCTTCTAATTTGTATTGATTCAATAGGAGAACATTTTGAACAATTTTTTTTTTTGCATTATCTTAAAATATCCTTAATACAACCCAATGTTTCCAGACTTTTTGGGCACCTTGTACTTGTCATAAAAGAAATAGTGAGCATTTAAATAAAAACCCTCATTTAATGCATAGAAAAATCATCATAATGTATGCCTAGAGATATTGAACCAATTGCAACTACATTGTATCAGTCATAATGTCCCACAAGGGAAATCCTCCAGGGAGGATAGATAGTCCTAGATTGTGTGTCACTGCCCTTAGATAAGCAATGACATGAACTTGTCTTACATTACCACTGATGCAGGAAGTGGGTCTGAATATGACATGACCTTGCTTACATAGAAAAAACCTCACAGTTAGATATAGTATGAAGAAAAAATAATAACATATAAAAATGAATTTTCTAAAACTGGCAGCATACTTATGGTAAATAAAATAAAAGGGGACAATTATTGCAGATGCACTGAAATATGACACACTTAAAATGAAAATGCTTTTTCAATATAATCTCTCATTGTCTGCCATGTATGAGAACTTACATGGAAGTGGCAGCAGAACTACCACTGGCAGTTGGAGAGAAACCAGCATCTCGCAGTTCTTCAAAGTATGCATCAAGGGACCTCTGCAATCCAGATTTAAGAACAAGTTCACAATATGATAAGGTACCAGACACAAGAGACACAAGGCCCATGACTAAGCCTTGAATCTGGTACATCAACTAACCCACTCTCCCATCTTAACCCTCACCACTATAACATCTGCTAACAAGTAATACCTAACCTTAGAAGACTCAATTTGGCCCAAGCAGTTACTCCAGCAATACATTACCTGGGTTTGGCCTTCGCCACAGGGGTTCTTTAACTTTTTACATGCTAATAAATTTTGTACTTCATGCCTGACATCTTGCCTGACTTTCCCAGGTTTGAACCTGGGTCCCCTTGCCATAGGAGCCAAGCTCACTACCAACCAATCTAATCACCTGCCCTAAAGTTTAATACTAAGAATTATGCATTTTGATGGTTGCTACTATGTGTAAGTATGGTAATGTTTCATAAACAGTTTACATTTCATGTGAAATTTAGTGGACTGATTAACAACCATTTGGAAATGAACATTCTCTGGCTGGAGGGACTCCACAAGGATCAACTCCCAGAGCTTTGCCTGAAGAAAGTATCCATCACCCAAGTCACAAAAATACCAAAATAGCCTGTAGCTCTTGTTTGATAATGGAGAAGTCTGAAATTTAAGCCAGTTCAATGAAAAAAATTCAAGGGAAACCTTCAAGTTGCAAATTACAATAACAATAACAAAATACTTTAACCTGTTCACAGTGTCCAATGCAAGTGCAACAGGAGAATATACCTGTAAATCCCAGTTCCGATCCTGTAAATAATACTGGGCTAGAGCGACATCTGTTCCTGTAACTTCAGCAAATTGCTGAGTCAGTCCCTCACAAGTCTCCCGATCTGGAATGTTATCTTCCTCAGTATCACTCTCACTCATTTTCCAAGGTTAGACCTGCAAGTGCAAGAAATAAAAACAAGTTTCAGTTTTAGAGGAATAGAGGAATGGAAGAATACAGTATCTGTATACCTAACCATTTTATCTGGGTCAATGAGCAGTCAAATATCACATTTATGGGATAAAAATATACTGAGATAATGAAAATTTCCTTCAGCAAGTATGTTTTCTGTTTTAAGATCATGAAAACTCAGACAAAATGGCAGATAATATTGGAAGCATTCCAATTAGGCTAAACTCTTTGAAAGTCTTGCTTTGCAGATCACAGCCACCAAAGGCCTACATGCTTTCCCAATCATTACTGGGATGGGGTCATAATGTGAGTGGTCTTGCCTGGGGGTGGCACAAAAAAAAGCAGGCCCTTATCTTCAAGTATCTTTATAAGGCACAACTGTTGCACCTATGAAAATAAAGGTTGTCCAGAATGAAAATTTTTCTCTCTTTCTTGCTCCAAAACAGAAATTCAATATGTCCTCCATTCTGGTCGATGATGGCCTGTAATCAAGTGTGTCACTGTCCAATAGCATGGTGCAACATGCAGAAGGGGAAGGCTTTCCAAGAATCGACAAATGCCTACTTTGAAATTTGGAATGCTCTGGATTTTGTTCTGATAGACCTTTTCTGCAATGCATCCCTTACAAAGTAATCAACTGAGTTTACATCAGGACTGTTGGGTGGCCACCTCATTTTTCAGGAACTTCATAGCTGCCCTTGATGTGTGCAGAGGCACACCAAGTGAAACAGATGTGCAACATATCTGCTTCACTGATGAGAAAATCTTCATGGAGGCATGGCAAATGCACAAAACACAGTTAATCAGAAACATGAAGAAATAACAGGTGAGAAACCCTATTCTTACTCAAAAATGGTTTAAGTAACACAGTACTTCCCAACAGCACCAGGTGCATTTTGGCATCTGTGGAAGATTGGCTACCAGAATATTGTGATTGGAGTACAAACTCATGATTAGCACCGGTTGCTTTTCATTGAATTCCCTCTGGTGGGATAATGAAATAATTTGGGTGTGCAGGGGATGAAATTGGTTTAGAAGATTCATAAAAGTAGGGGTTTCCTTTTTTTCTTGCACCATCCTGTATATCAAATTCATCCTTTAAGTGCTTGGTGTAATAAATTAGGGAAACACTGAAGGAAGGTGGTAGGGGGTTACTTGCCACCTGATGTAGAATAACATCAGATGGTAAGTAACCTTTAGTGTCTGGACATTGACTACTCCTGTCAGGCCTAGCCAGCATTGAACTTACAGGAAGGACACAGTAGGCATAGCATAGGCTATGTTAGGCTTAAAGTGACAGGCTACAGCAACAAATTTTGTCATTTTTATTCATGCCAAACCCTGACAACCACTCGAGAAGAACAGGCACCTCAAATCAATTTTGGAGACAGCACAAAACCAACCAGAATGTGCTCATGCAGTTGAGAATCCAAATTAACATGGTCTATGCCTTAGGTCGTCATGAAACTGGTCTAGGCCAAAGAAACACCTTCTCCAAAAGAAATTTAACACTGTCGACGGCAAGCGTACATGATCCACAAGCTCGCCCACTCAGTCCTGCCATTTGCTATATATGCCCGATATTCAAGCTTTCTAACGTCTCCTCAACGAAAAAATAAAGGGGAGAAGAGTTGACATGGGGTTAATAAGGGGGCACTCATAGGCACGGAGCTTTCTGCACTTGGTGGCTAATGCACGCACTACCTCAGAATACTGCACCACGTGGGTGAGGCGCGGCTACACCCGAGCGCAAACTGGGGGATCCACATTTGCATCAGGGTTGCTGAACCTCTACTTGCATCTTCTACCTAAGACTCACCTCTTTCAATTCTCAGAATACATATACCATTCCCATACCCGATTCGCATCAGTTGGCCATGCCGAAACACACTTGTAACCAAGCACTTTATTGCATCCCTCCAAAACAAGTTCCTGCGAGAGTATTAAGGAAACCGCGAAAGAAATATCGGTTCCGCTAAGAATTATATTCGAAAGCAGCTTTTCGCGCGGGGAAGTACCTAAGGACTGGAGACTAGCAAACGTCGTACCGATCTTTATCTGAAAGTGGCAGTCGCTCATTTGCCATTGCTCTGCACTCAGCGGCGTAAACTATGGCAGTTACGTAGCGCCCACAAAAGCGAACTGGCGAAACGGCGTCCGGCGCAGCGACACCGCTCACGAATCTCTCACGGCAGAATGCAGTGTGTGCACACCCCGTTCTTGTACGGCAGTCACCTCAACCAAGCCTATCTTTTAACACTAGAAGTATCGAGAGTTCGTATATACCAAGAACTACCGGAGCGGTCATTTTGACCTCTATACTGGTATTAAAAATAGTAATAAAAAAAAAGCATTATTCTGTGACATTTAATTTCTTTAAGTTTTTTGTGTACAACAGGACTAAATTTGAAGGAAAAAATGGTCAGTTCAAAATTTTTAATACATGGAATGTTGAAAAGGACATCTGGCAAAGACCATAAACACCTAGACTCATAGAGTCTAGGTGTTTATGGACTCAACATAGGCATGATACTTTGCACGTGTGCACAGCACTTGCCACACACTGCCTTCTCGCACAGGGCACAGCTGTCACGTGTCTTGTTCCCCTCATGATCATATTTTCATCATTATTTAGGCCTATCTCATTTTCGTTTCTGGATTCGACTTCAGATAAGTCCTGTAATAGCTGCAAGCACTGCAGTTCAGTATCGCGTTGTTTTCTTGGTCTATTCATTTCCACTGCACACAATTTCACAGCAGCTACACAGATACAGAAATAGCAAATAAGTTGCAGGAAAAATTATTCTCAGCTTGTATGAAAAAGTATCCTACTGCAGCATATGCAGTATGTGTGCGTAACTTTGAGGCTCAGCTTCAAGCAAAGGCACGTTTTCACAGCAAGTCAGTCACGTGATCACAGCAGGTCGGTCGCAAGATTGCCGCAGGTCGGTCACATGATCACAGGAGCTCGAACGCGTCAAAATGGCAGGTCGGACGCAGACTCACAGTAGCTTTCACAGTTGCTCACGAAGCCAAATACATTGATTTCTCTATGGCGGTCAAAATGACAGCTCCTCTTGGTATAACGTGTTATATCTCCGTTTATTTTGCAACACTGGGTCAACTGCTGTATCAGGATGTTGAATACTTAGATATACAGGAAGTATATGTAGGAAAAGCCAAAAATGCACAGGCTCTTAGTTGCCAAACGAGGGGAGTAAGTTGCATTTAAAAACAGCCAGTGGCCAAAATGACGGCTCCGGTCTTTCTGATGCTAAAGAAGTCTACATAGTTAGATCCAGTGGCAGCTCGTTGCCTTTTTCCCGTGTCTTCTTGCATTGGCGAATCCTAGAATGCGGTACGAACATGACTATTAATGCATCTATTACTATGGTATGTATCCAAGTCAATATGCATTCTTCCTAAATCTACTTTAAGATTTAATTGACATCTTTCACGTTTGCATTGCTTTTTAATAATACAGTATATTCTAAAATATTAGCAGAGCCATGGGTACAAATGAAATTGGACGGTGAATCATGACGCCAGCTGCACGAACCCTACACTGTTTCCGAATTGAATTCGTACCCCCCCCCCCCTCCCCTTTTGTGGAGAACAGGGAAGACACAAGATTTCTAGACAATCTGCAAGATGTCAAGTCTATTGCCCTGCACGGTTGTCGGATCGTTGGTGATAATTCCGCTTTTAGAATGACCACAAAGAATAAAATTCGCTTTTCTTCGTTGCAATAAAATGAGGTCAATAAGAACAATCATGAAAGGAAATTCTCTTGTTCTCGAATGTTCTTGGAAAATGGTATCCCATCTTCGAACATCACTGCATATTGTCGAACGTAACTGAAGCTTATAGACCCCTCATCAGGAAGAGACTTCTTGAATCATGACTTCTTGCGGCAATTCTCACAGCCTTTCTGGTTAGTTACAGATAATTGTTATCCGAAAACATTGGGATGACCACATGCAGCGAATGCCTCTTCGTCGCCCATTTTCAGTCCTTCTCAGCAGAGAAAGACCCAACACCAACGCAATAAAATAGTTCGATCTTGCAGGGAATCGACCCTGAATTGCAGATAACAGTAGAGATGAGACAAAAAAGTTGCCAATTGCGGTTGCGAGACTCTCGGCTTCGCCTCCGACGGCTACGGCTGTCCTCGATTATTTCCTATTCTCTGTCCATTGCAAAACCTTACTTGCTTGGCCTCGTTTCACCTTTACTGATGACTATTCCTTGCTGTATTGGTTGACTCTTCTTTCTACCGTAAGAAACTCGGATCTCCCTGACAAAAATGACAATTCAAGAGGAGATGCAATCCATAGAATGCGACATTCTCATTTATCCATCAGGTGCCTCGCCTTATCCGTAAGGGAGAAATCCAAATCGCCATACTTATCATCTGTTCTATATGGTCATGAGTAGCGAGTGGGATTTTTATGCGCTAAGTTCAAAAATATGCACATATGCACTTAAAAATTCCAAAATATGTATGAAATATGCATGAATGCGGAAAAATATGCAAAAACATGTTTTTTTTTTATGCAGTACGAATTTTTCGAAGAAGGAACTTCAATGAACATTTCATGCCTCTACTGGGCATAGTTGATCTATTGCTGTCACAGCCAGCAGCAAAGCCAGGAACCCGCCAATGGAGGGCTAAGGGAAACGAATGGGAGTCAGGATTTCCTGAACTCGGGAGTAGCGGATAGGGATAGATTTAGGGCAGAGTTAGGGGACTTCGCGCCTTCCCCCCCATCGCTAAGCTACTGGTCACAGCACATAACCGCTCGAAAATGTTCACCGGTAGCTCATAAAAAAAAACCATATTCCTGGAAAACCCTTATTTTTCGCCAAAAGGGGCGAAATATGCATAAATACGCACATGCTGAGAATAACCTCAAAATATGCATTTTAATGCGTTTTTTTAATTGCAGAAATCGCCTCCTCTACCATTAAGGCATGATCCTACCTGGGTTGCATGTTCCTAGGAGGCTGCAGAAAAATATGCATTTACATAAAAATCCACTCCCTAGTCATGAGTTTCGCCAATCTGAATCTACGCAACCGCGCAGGACTCCACAGACCAAGAATCATATAATCACGGAGGATTCTCCTAATACTTCACCTTCCATCCAAAAGATGTCCTGCCTACACTTGATGGAAGCGCACCTAATAGGGGAGGAGAACGAATTCAATCTGGAAACTGTATAATAGAAATTGTTGCCTGGTGGAAGGGCTGGGGAGAAAAGCCAACATCTGGCAATGCAGCATAAACTTGACAACGTGGCACTGAGGCCACTTCTCTCGTGTCTATGTCCCAGTCCCCTTGGCTTCGCCGTGAGGCTGCCCATTCCTCCTCGATTCTTTCATCCCGCTATTGGTGAATTAGAGCAGGCTGGGCCGTGGAGAGACTATCCTAGGTAGGAAATGCGCATGCGACTCACCAGCGAGAGGAGGGAAGCCCGTAGGAGGCATTTCAAAAACTTGACTAACGTTCAAATAAAGTGAAAGTTACTTGCAACTCTTAGCCCTGTTTGCTGTGTTTGCTCCTGGCTAGGCCCGGCCTAACATGCCTATCTTGACGAGCTGCCACTTGTCAGGTCAATGGGAGTGTTAAATTGGAGAGAAGATTAGTCAGTGGTTTGAAAGTGGGAAGGCAGGGAAGGTATATGGGAATAAGCGCAGAAATGCCAACGCGTAAAATTGATAGGCATGATAACGCCTTCAGGCAAGGAATCGCGGTGTAGTCTGGCCTTTCTCCACGCTACTTACACCCTCAATTCGCTTGCGCCTTTCATTCCTTATTTAACTGCACGTTATTCGTGGATAAGGCTGATTAATCTTGACCCGACAATCGATGGGGATTCAGACCGTCATCAGTTGACACCGAAACTAACTCACCAAATCTGACTGCAACTGTGGAAAATCACACCAGACGTAACAAGGGGACCTGGGCACCTCCCGCAGCTACTTTACAGAGGATTCTGTCTGCCATCCCCCTTGACTGTGGGTGGGTGAACTCAGGCTGTAGGTGAAAATGAAAAAGTGATTAAAAAAGCAAGAGATTCACGGAGTCCATTCGCATCATAAATCTATCCTTCCCTATTCTGCACCTTTTCGCGATCTGGTTGTTGGGAAGGTCAAAAGTCTCCCCTCGTTGCATGCCTAGGGACATAAGCGGTCGCCAGATGACACTAGGATCACTTCTTGCTCTGCCGTACTTCAAACGTTATGTTACATAGAATTGTTATTACCCAAACAGTTGGAAACTAAACCTCCACGAAACCATTTTCACGCAGCGCACGCTGTGGTTGAGCCTATTACAGCAACGCACCTTGTCAAATTCTACAAGTAATGAGCACGATCAAACTACTATTTCTTTTTCACGATTATATCTTCATTAACTTAGGAAACTGAGTGACTTCCGTACCTGAAGTGTTCCTGATGTCTAACATCATACCAACCATATATAGGTCTACATCTCTGCTACTTGCCGGTACCGTTTCGGTTTGGTAAAATGGTCTCGCTTAGGCCCATTAGAGACCATTTTGCTAGAATCTTCTTTCATCCATTCGCCTTCCACTTTTATCTTTCGTGACGATGCAATAGGCTACTAGTTCCAAGAGGCTACTTGGCTCATTAATATGCCTTGGATTTGGAATCCCATTTAAGCCCCCCCTCTTATTTAAACCCCACTGGCCTGTAACTATCTAAGACCATAGCAATCCCCAATTTTGGAAGGAAATTTGGCCCACATGGTTATTCTGAGGATATGCTGAGTTCGGTCTTCACCACGGGTTCTGTAATGCCACACTCTAGGAGACACCTTTCAACATTTTACCTGTTACCATTTTTGGGTGACTTCAGTGACATTCAGATATAGTGGTGAAGGGTTAGGTCTAGTGTTAAAACTTTATGGGCTTTTATTTCGTGAAGACTTTGAATATGATGTTTGTTGTGCTAAGATATTGCATTAACAAATACTCTGGTGCTGATGGAATTACACATGAATATCTTCCTACTTCATCACATGAGGCTGGACCTATGGCTCATGGTTCTCTCTGATGGAATACTAATGTACTAATTGGGATCCATCTCTAATTCTCTTTTTTGTCTAATCCACTAGCTAGAGTTGTTCATGTATTTATATTGTATTTATGTGAAACAAAATATTGACAACAGTGAGCATTGAAGCTTGCTATTTTTTAAAATTTAATACTGTTAGAGAAGTGTTGTATTTTATGAGAGTTAGGGAGGGTAGCCACCTCCCTTGGTGCCCCTGGGATAGAGGTTGACCTCCCCTTGGAGGTAATTTTCTCTCCTTGTATTGCTTGGGTGGTTTGCCATTCTGCTTCCCTGCCCCCCCTGACTCTTCAACCAAAATACACCACTGCAATAAAGGCAATGCAATCCACTCAATCTCACTACTATGATTTTGGACTTTCTGAAACTTTGCTTTGTCAATAATAACTTCATTTTTTAATCTAGGAAATTTTCCCAAACCCCAAAACACTGCCAAGATGTCAAAACTTGACTGATACTATTTCCGTTAGTTCATGGATCTTGTATTGTTGCACTATACTCAGCAAAAGACCTTTTGGGGTGAATAGAAATTAATGTCTCCATCATCTGGGACAAATGTCTGGAGAGCTCTCTGGAATTTATGAAGTAGCAGAAATCCATCCATATCACCATCAAGTTAGACTACACTCACTTCAATACCAATGTTAACTTTCATTGATGTTTTTGTATTTATATGCAATGGGAAACTCAAGACGTCTCTTAGCATGAAGCCTTCTTACATCTTTTCTCATCTTTTTACTTCTCATCACTCTCATCACCAGAAATTAACTGTTTGAGGACAGTAATATTTAATAATTATAATTTCTTCTGTTTAAAAGAGAGATTTCTAAGTGTTGCTTCTGTCACATGTTTTTTCACTTAGCCTGAAAACCAATGCATTCCATGAAGCTTCTTATAAATTATCTCTGTGATCTGATAATTTATTGCTGCCAGAAAATCCTGTACCTCCAATTTACCTCCCTGGAAACCCACTGACAACCTCATACATTCACCATTATTTTTATTATTTGCACAGCCTGAATATATGCCCTTTACTTTTACTGTTGTTTCATCTGGATCCTGATCTCTTGTCCTTTCTAGATTCAAACCATTTAAACATATTCATGCCTCTTTTTTTTCCTCCATTAGAATCTGGTGGTGATGAATTTCCTTCATTTCTCATTATTATTCTCTCAAGCATTCTGAAGTGTTTCTAGGATCTGTTTTAGGCTGAGAATAAATCTAACAGTGGGTCATACCATACATAGCAGCAGGAATTAAAAAGGCAGGTAATTAACTCTTGGCCAGCATCAAGCTTGAAATCACCAGCAGTGAAAATTTGCAGTTGATCTCATGCTGTAAAATGTTCCATGTTGAAAGTGGCAGTGGGTTCATGCAGAGTTCAACTGAATCCATTTTAAACCCACTTTTTCATTCCAATTCACGGCAATCCAGCATAAGTTCTCAAAGTGTGGAGGCTGTGGAGCGTGACATTTGTTCACAAGTGTCTCATGTGGGAAGAATGCAAGTGGAGTCTCATTCCACAAATGCACGCAAGTCTAATAACTGTCAAGAAGCATGTATTTACAGCAGGAAGCCCATTAAGTTACTTCAAAAAAATTCAGGGCAGCAGCCAAGTGGTATCAACAAGTTAAAGGAAGGAGCGGCAGGTTCAGGAGGAACCAACAGGAAATCTTCACGCAGTTCTTCACAAGTATCATTCATTTCTACACCTGACAAGTGCAAGGTGAGTTTGTAGTCATTGTTATCTTGCTAGTGTTTCTGGATGTAATCGCTTGTAACAAGTGATGGTGAACTGGTGGCGTAGAAATTTACCAGTAGCTGATAATGAACCATAGTTTTTTTTTTAAATGTATTTATACATATAAGGAATTTTGCAATTTTTTGTGGTAACCAGAGTTGGGATTCAAGTGGGCCCAAGAGGTCCATTCAAACTCAAAGTTTTGGAGGTATCAGAATCTCAGGTTCTCTCTCAAATAAAAACTATTTTTACCTGAGCATAAATAGGGGAAAAGTTATGGACAATGGCATAGCCAGGATTTTGCCTGTGGAGGGGGGCTAGAATTTCCTAACTACTCTTTGGTGAAATGGGAGGTGATACATTTAGACCAGTTGGGGAGGGGGGGGATGGGCTTCAGCCCCTCTTGCCGTGCCATTGGTTATGGTTAAGAATAGGAAATTGTTTAGAGGACAGACAGCTTTGCAAGACCATGCTAGAATCAATACCTGATTCTAAGGTTATTATTGGCTCATTATCATTAGGTTGAATGTTAGTTGATAGGTACAGCCACATCAGACATTTTTCTGTCACAGGAAGGATACCATGATCAATAAAAGTGTCTCCCCTCTTGCATAGGAAACAGTGTTCTGCCAATTGTATTGCTCAAGTCAACACTATTGCACATGCTGTTAGCACAATTAGCAATATACAATTCTTGAGAAGTGAGACTCCTTTCTTTTTGTCTGCAAATCCTGTTCAGCCAAAGTTGGTATTTGAAAGGGTGTGATTGTCTAGTCAGTAGCACACCCAGGATATTTCATACCTGTCCTGGCTTATTGTTTTTGGCTCTGGTCAAACTCCCCATGCAAAATCACAAATTCAGCTAGGTAGTGGAAATCTTGGGTCTGCCATTGCAGAAAGTTCTCTGAATAAGTCAATAGCTATTTGAGAGAGTTCTTGTCTTAGTTCTGACCTGGAAGGGAGAGCCTGATAATTCCTCAGGGATGTAGCCTTAAGACTTGGAGACTGGATCTTGGAGGAATGGAAAGTCTGATTCATGATTGAAAATTCTCTATCAGGCCCTCACCCACCAAGGTTATTTATTGGATTTGTCGATAATAATGGGAGGTTATGGTTCTGATAGCAAGAGGAGGAGCATGAGTGGCCAGTCTTCTCATCTCAGATGGGAAGTCCCCTCTTCAGCTTGAGTGATCCTCTGAGTGACTCACAACTACCACAGAGTAAGAAGAAACCAGAACTCCCTCAAGAGTCACAGCATAGAATTGACTCCTTTTCCAATTTCCAAGAAAAGAGATCTTCCAATGATGAGAACCGTAGCATTCAGTGAGTATTACCTGCTGTTTGTTCACCTTATGGTGTTCACCTTATTAACTCATGGAGTTAATATAGTCCATTCAATTTATTTTGGGACCATTTAAATGCTTGTTTAGAGGAAAATGGTAGCATGTACCGTATAGCCATAGTTTTTTGCAAAAATATACCAACTGCATGGAAATTTACTGGCAAAAAATAATCCCTTTCAAGTCCATGCCATTCTCTGTACTCTTGTCATCATAGTAAGACATTTTTCATTTTAGCTTGCAATGTTACAGCAGAAATCTCACAACCATAGTGAGTGATGTTATTCTTTAACTCTTATACATTTTGGGGCCTTTTATGGTACACTTCACTCTTGAGATACCCCCCACAGAAAAAAGTCAGGAACAGTTAGATCAGGCAAATGTGCCATGCCAAATCTGTACTTTGTAAGGAAACAGGTTTGAATTTTTTGTGGAGTATGTGGTGAACAGTTGTTGCTCTCATACCAGTCTGGCTCTACATATGGGGAATGGATTTCTTTGGGCTTCATTGAGTCACTACTATTCACACTGATCGTGTTCAGTTGTACTTCTTAGCAGCCACATATCCTCCTTCCCTAAATTTGGCAACATACTGCAGAATGGTGAATTTACTGGGAGCATCTGAAATTCTCTTCTGAAAGTTCTCTGTGCAATCAGTCACTATTGAGTGACTTTCAAAATGAAGTTCACGAACCAGCCCTAAAGTTTGGGGGGGTTCAAAGTTCTCATGACCAGTCTTTTAACTGTCTTTGACTGCAAGAAGGCATTATCAAATCATCATGAGAGATGTACTCAACAAATATGCAAAATTATGTGAACACAAACAATTAAAATTAAACTAATAAAAATGTTATGAAATGGTGGAAATGGAATTTGAACTCTAAATGCTAAAAACACTTTTGATATCTGAAAAAAAAATGCATAAAATGAACTAAATTAATTTCAGGATTCTGCCCAAATATCACTGCACAGATATGCAACTGGAAATTCATTAACCTTTACATGATTCACACCTTTTATTTGATTTGTCATCCTTCTGCTTTCAGGGATGCAAGCAAGGTTGGAGGGGGGATTTAGACCCTGAACACCCTCCACCATGCTTGCACCAGAGCTCCACAATCCTTGTATGGTGTCTCAGGCTCCAAGGATCCAGTGTCAACAACTTAGCAGTATTTTATCTTCAATTTGAAATGAAGAATGAAATTATAAGTTACAATTTTCCTTTAAAGCAACATTCTCATGGTCCCAAGATAAATGGAACCCTCTGTATAAGAATTACCATTTCTGCATCTTGACATTTTGTCTTTCAGATTTATTTATTATTTATTTAAAGCATATTCTTTTAATCATCAAAATATTTACTTCAATGTGATAGACAGAAGTGGTTGAACTCACCTTAAGTCTTGGTTTTCTTGTCAGGGATTGCATTATGTACATGGAAGCTACCATGGAAGAGATACCATTTCTGGTCAGTGAGAGTGTTAAGGCAGCTCTGGCTAAGTATGATCTCAATCCTCAAGTCTCCCCAGCTGAAACCAGTGACTGTCTTCTGGAGAAGTTGAAGGTAAGCTTCCATCCTTCAATTCATAATCTCCTAGTGAATTTTGCTTTTTTGCAACCTTTTTGCCCCTTTTATCTTGACAAAGTCTTGACATCTGTACCTACATCCCCCACTAAAACTTTTAGAGTAGAATTCTAGTGAGATGAATGAGTTTGATTGAAGTCAGTTGTTGATTTTCTGAATGATAAAGAGCAGAACTCTGTAACTTCAACCATAGCACAGCACAAATGAAAGAGTTATAAATTATGATTGTTTGCTTGTATATTCTTGTATATGTGTGAGAATGGGATGAACTGGGGCATCCATGTTCTGCTGGTCTTATCTATATGCATAAATAAGTCTGGCTAAGCCAGATGCTATGGGTAGATATTTCATTATGTTTTTGTTTTTCTCTTTCTTTTGCCATTTAACTTTCCTTGAGATTATTTTTTGGCTTTCCCTGAATCAAAACAAGGGATAATTTAAAAAATGAAATTCTTTACTTTGCTACAAATTGGCACCAGCAATTTCATCAGTCAAATATTGTCCATTACTTCCAGTCTCTGGTGTTGTCTAAAGTTGACTGACCTGTTACAAGTGATCATGTAGTGGTCTGTATATTGACTGGCTTATAAATATAGCAGACTAGTGAATTTATTAGGTACCCCAGGGGTTCTGAATTTTGAAACACCACCTAGCCTATGAATGTCCCTGAACCAAATGAGGAAGCCATGCAAAGTTTGGTTGAACTGGGATCAGAGGCATGGCCATGCATAAAAGATAGACATGCACGCACACGAACAAACACTCTGAAATATAAGTAGTATTAATGGTGCATGAGTGGACTACAAGCAGCAGTTGGCAGTTGATTTTAGTGTTCAACTTGGAAATGCCACTGCTGGAACATGGGGGCTATCACACCAGGAATGTGGTGGTGATTGTTAGCAGTAAACTGCCATGAGTAATGGATACATATGGATCACAGTGTGTCATACTGGTATGATGATTAGCACCTTCACATAGGTGCCAATCAACAGCTGTGACAGAAGTCCAGCTCAACAAGGTCAGGATATTATTCAGTAATATCTGAGTATTTTCTTAAAACAATTTTCACCTTGTGACTGGTGCAATATCATCTCATCTGGCATTTCCAAGTTGAGTACAAAAACCAATTGCTAGCTGCTGCTTAGTGTCTGTCAATGTGTTACAATCCATTATGTTTACATTTTACTGTTTATAGCCCCTGTGCAAACACACAGGACAACAGACCAGTTACAATGGATTTTCTCAACTCCAGACACTGAGCAGAAATTGACATCAGCATTGTTCCTGATACTGCTCTCATGACAAAAAAAAATTATTTCATTTATTTTTGATCACCCTTTATGGTAGAAGCCACAGGAGCCAAGTCTGTAAATCAATGATACAGCTTTCTTCAGCAATGAAATAGAGCATGGATTCCTGTGGGCTGAATTCAGGAGAGTAAAAGGCAAGTGTTTAGTAAACTTATGCCTCTGTCTAGAAGTCTTACCATCTCATTTGATGAGCTAGAACACTGAATAATGCAAAATCTTATATTAGGGAGGAGTTGCTGCCAAATATTAAAATCGCTTTTTAAAATTTTTCATTCATTCATTTATTTTCCAATAAGAAAGTGAGTCTGATGAAATTTACATGCCTCAGTTGCAATGACTACATGGTAACAAACCATTTCAGTTAATTAGTGTTAGAACTTCACCAGGTGAGTAAACTGACAAAGAGCAGCTGCTTTTGTACACAGGGTGTACATCCTGAATAAAGAGGGTGTTGTTTGTGCTTAGTCTGTTAGGGATGTGAAACTTCTTCCTAATTTTTTATCTTTGACCTCCTTGATGTTTTGATGCCGTTGAATTCTTTTCTAGGGTATGTTGAACACTGCCTTTGCTTCTCAGTTCTCAAGCTTGCATGACCTCATTCACCCTATCAAGGCTCATCTGAAGGAACTCAAGTATGACCCCCTTCCTCCTTTCACATCATATTTTGCAAAATCCTTTTCATACATGTTTATGCATGTTTTCAGTCTGACTGAATGCCATGTTAAGATCTCAGTACCCTGGTGTAGGAGAGACTACTCATTTCTGGCTTTTTTTCTGACCTAACCTGGAAGAAAAGTATGAGAGTCACTGAGTTGAAATTTTTATTCTTTGGCATTCTGCACATTCTAGTCTTATCATGGTCCAGTAATTAAATCACAGCACGAGCCTCTCTACAATTTTCCTGTTGTTTTGGGTGTCCCTTTCCTGTTTTTGTGTACCATCCCACAGCAATTTGTCTCATTCTCATGCAGTTTCTCAAACAGCTGGGACCCAGTGTACCAATTGTCTACCCATATGCTGTGTCCCTTCCTAAGGTAGGGCTCTAACAATGTAAGGATAACAGACACTGACATCCCTAGTCTGCGTTCTTCAAGGTCAGCACCTGCACCTGTGTACAAAATGAAGTTTGTCTCTATTGCATAAGATGAACTTCACCCCAAAGTAGTTGCATTTCCATGGGACATATTACTTGAAACCAATTCATTCCTTGAAAAGCATCAAAATTTCAACAATGCAAAGATCCTGATACAGACTCATCTTGTCATCTTGAAAAATCTTTCTGAGTTTGTTCCCAATCATCCTGATTTTGGAAAGTTTGTTGCCTGCAGGTTGCTCTTGATTGTTGGAAAATGGAAGCATCTTAGGATGAACTTGAATTGGCGGATTGGCATAATTTGTCAAAATATTAGGGTCAAGATGATGGAATTAGTTGACCAATAGTCCTTGATTGACAGTTACTTTGCATGAGCCATGAGCATGAACACTTCCAAGAAGAGATGCCTATCCAGCAAAGCAAATCAGATTGAGCTGAAACTGAATCCCTCTCAAGGAGTTCCCAGCAGATGTGATTAGTTTCAGTGACAACATGGTCCACTAGCTTGGGTGGGAACATCCTGTAGTTGACTCATTATTCCTTGTTTGCAGTACAATATCACAACTCAAAGAATCAAAGTGGTGAAGCTAGGGATGAAAAGGACCAGAAACCCACTACATTTTGGTGCTTGGTCTGTTGCAACTCTGCTTGCCTTCTGAATGCAGTTCCATTTCAGGGCAACTGTCTTCAGAGTCTTCTTCTGCAGATATGATTTAATCACTCAACTCAGAGTCCTCTGATTCCAAGTTCATAAGCAGTTTATGAAATTTGTAATCATTCATTGATGTACTTGGCCCAAGAAAGCTCATTTTCTTTATCAGTAAACACTTGTCACCTACTGTTGACATGGTTGCATCAACTGATTGACAGACTTTGCAGCTGCTCATCAAATTTGCCAAATTTCTCATTGCAAATTTCATCTTTTGCTTCAAAAATCTTCTAGGATGAGTCAATAGATGGCAGAATTTGCTGAACCTTGTTTCATGCTCTCCTGAAAAATCAGGGAGTGACTCTGAAGACAAAAAATCCAAAAACTGAAATTTCAGCAAATATACATCTTGAACTTTCTGCATCAGAACTGAATATGCATTGCATTATCACAAAAGGGTTTTAGTTAAGCAAACTTCTAGAGAAGGGAAAACAAAACCCAGACAGACTTTTTTTTTTTTCATCCTATTTCATTGAATTACTTCCTCTCAGCATGTAGACTTGTTTCTTCTAATGTAATATGTGAAGTACAAGGTTTGCATTTTTGTCACATTTTGTGGCAGTACCTTCAGGAAAATGGCATTTGGCCCTGATAATATATCCAAAGAAATGGAGTGTTTTGTGATGCAGTGTTTTACAGCTGAAGGGATCCCACCAACAGATGTCTGCAGCAGAGTGATGTAGACATCTATTGGTATGGTATGTAATAGGTAATTAGAGTTTTACTTAATCCATTGAATGTAACTGGAGCCAACATTTCTTCAAAAGACTGTGTATTGTTGGTGGCAAAGCATGCCCAGGAAAGTCTATTGTTGCCATCACCATGACCACAGTGATGATGGACTGGCTGATTAGAGAGAGCTTATATATATATATATATCTCTCTGAAAGCTCTCACCAAAGCAGTGTATCTGAGTCATGGTTCTATGACAAAAGTTGGATGTCAAACTGTGTTAGAGAAACAACAATAACTATCCTGGACATGGATCATTGCCAATATGGGAACTTCTTCTTTTCTACTTAGTAAGTTTGGATAAACTGTTATTGCCATGTATAGAGATCATTCTGCTGTCAGCATCTGTTGATGGGATACCTTCAGCCATCAAAAACTGCATCATTCCACACTGAATTTCTTTGTTTTTGCTCTTGTCTGATGCCCTTTGGAAAACCTTTAGACCTGTTGGAGCTCATGGACTTCAATGTTCAGACTACTTCAGGAGATAAAAAAAAAAACAATGCAGTATTCTTGCTGTTACTGACAGTATTATTGCTACTCCTAGTAGCTGGTTTCTTTCAATCTTCCTACTTGGTTTCTACAGGGTGGCGCACGAAAAACCAGCCCGCCTCGTAGCCCATTGTGGGCATAGGGCCGCACACCAGACTCCGATTTTTTTATTGTGAAGGGGTTGTTGATGAATTGTATGGGGGTTGTCTACTGACCAGTATCTGATGTTCTGAGAATTTACAAGTCCTGACAGATGGGAGGAAGAGTCGGTTGTGACGGAATTTGTCTGTGTACGTGCTCGTGGTAGGCGGTCAGAGACGGGCCTGTTTTTCGTGCGCCACCCTGTACCAAACTTTTGGCTCTATTAAGAATTTTATGCCTAAAGTATTTTTTATTATCTATTTTACTTGCATCTTTTCTTTCTTACAAAACACACAACATTCAGGTTCTAAAGAATCATTGCTCGCCCTCCTGCACCTTGTTTGCCATGGTGTTTGTAACAGAATCAATATGTATATCATTATGTAACAAATGAAGAATTTATTTGTTAGGGTTGTGACAATAGTTATGATGAGGTTAAATGACCATGTATTGTTACAACTTAATTAAAATTTACTGTATGCATCGGGTACATTTAGTTGGGAATATTACTTTTAAAATCCCAAAAAGTCAGGATACTTTTTAATCTGATTTTTCAATAGCTCCAATAATGCCATGTTTGACAAATCAACATTGAGAAAGGTGCTGGATTTTTTTTTTCCCCAGAGTGGTATAAAGTAGTGAAAATTTCTGATCCTCATCTTCTTCTCTGCACCTTTTTCATTAAGGAGTTTATTTGTAATCCCACATATCTCATATAAATCCTTTTGCTCACCAACCATTCATTTCTCAAGTTATTTTAATTTAAAAATATGTCTTTTGCCATGATCACCAGGGTGGTTTTGCCTATAGAGAGAAGACACAGTTGTAGCGTTTCTGCTATGAAATTTGACTTGGAAATATGTCTTTAGTATACAGGGTGGTACAAATGTAGGTAGTTAGCTGTTTATTCCATATTACTTACTATTACTTTTTATTTATTACTTTTATCTAGGGCTGTTGGTCAATTAAAAAATCAAATAGATTAATCTAATCTAATTGACAGCCCTACTTTTATTACTTCTTGTTTATTACTTTTGCAGTACATCTGTCACAGCCATCTACACTGATTAAAAGTCAGGTTCCCTGCCATTAGCCTCTATCTGTAAATACAAAAATAAAATAAAAATACTACTGTATACATACTTTTGCCCCACCATGTATTTAAAATTATCTTGCATGGAATTTGGAAGTCAACATTAATTTATTGGACATTTATTGCATATCTTGATTTGATTTCACTGATTTATAACTGAATGATAAAATTTCTCATTAACTAGACAAGTCTGGGTTAAGGATCCAATCAGAGCTAACTTGAGTTGAAGTTGGGTGATTAGATTGTATACCTAGTTTTAGCTACTTTATTGCTTCCAAAGTTGCATTGCTGCTATTTTTGGGGTGTTCCTGGCAGGATGAGAAAATATCATGCCTTATTCTTGCCTTTGTCCTTTCAGTATTATTTCATTAGCATGGCATTCCAAACTTCATGCCTGTATTCATGTTACTGAAGAATGTCAAATTTAATTTTAAACTCACAAGACAATTGGTACAAAAATATTATGACTGCCCATCATTATGCAGAAAAAATGCAGGAAACAAATGCATTGTTCACATCTTGTTGTTCTCACATGAGCAGGTTTTGAGAAAATTTTGGGGTTGGCCTGTCTTCAAAACTATTGTATATAAATAGACCTATGATGTTTGTGAGATTCTAGAGGGTAGTGAGGGGGAAGGAAAGATGGGCCTGTTTTTCATGACCTATAAATATGCCATCAAAGTTCAGTCATGGAGAAGGAGCCAAGCTGGCCTTGGCATTCAGCAACTAAATCAGCTCCATTCATCATTTTCACTTATTGAATTTAATTCTTGTTGGTTTGCTAGACCTTGGTCAAACAGGGATGAATAAATGAAGGGTAGTTCTGCCTAATCCTATGTGGGAAAAGTTGACTCAATGCTTATCTTTCATTCAACCAGAGCCCCTCATTAATATTTGTATTGGTTCCACTCTGAGAAGTGTATCTTGGTTGGGAATTGTGAATTTTGATTTTTGTCCAATGAGAAATCCAACATGTTAATGCAAAATGTTTACTCTGTGCATCAATGCTATTATGTGCTGCAATGTTTTGTATGAAATAACATGTCATGTGATTTCCTTACTGCTTTTTTCTGTCATGAAATTTTCCAAAATGAATTGAGCCATTGGCCATTTTGCAGGACCTGCTTGCAAGGAGGGACAAGAGCTCAGAATGACAGTGTGAAAGGAGCCTCAAAGGAGCTGAATGAAGGTCTCAGGGACTGTGGCAACATTGCTTCAAATAGGAGTACCACTGTATGCCATCAATGTTCTTAGCCAAGGCTTGATTTTGTAACTTCTTGGTACAAGTACCAGGTTTTCTAACTCAGGTAATGGGTGCTCTCTTGTGTACCAGAATACTTGTGCTGCAATGACAGCATAGTAACAGAGGTTTGTACCAGTCATAGATTTGAATTTGGTATTGCTTGGCTATACCAGCTATGGCAGCCTATGTCAGTTGAAGTGGCTTTAATTTCTTGAATAGACACCTGAAAGGTTTCTTACATCTCAACAGAATATACTTCAGTATCAAAGGGATTTTGCTCTTGCATGGAGTTGTGGTAGGAAGCAGTCATTGTAGACTATGCCTCATGGTATGACTGATAGTTTTTGTGAGTTCCAGGATGGATATCTACTGGTATGCATATAAGGGTATTGCAGTTTAGTCATCAAATATATGCCTCTCTTCACACCATACTGCATGGATGGTCAAAATGTCATTCACTTCAGCTCCTCCAATTACTTCCTGTGTGAGGATTCCCTCATAAGTGCCTGTTGTCCAAATAGAACAGTATCCAAAACAGAAAATGTTAACATATGTAAAAGCAATAAATGCAGAATGTACTTTATGCAGGGTGTTCCTGAATTATCTTTCCCATTTTGAATGTAAATACTTAAAAAACTAATAGACATACAAGAATGCAATTTTCACCATCTTGTAGTACAACTCAAGGAGTTTTTATTGATATGTCATTAGACTTCCATGTTTGCACCATTAGTGGCTCTCAGCACATCTAACCGATATTTAATTTCAGTCCACATTCGCTGCAACTTATCCACAGTCACACTGGCTATGGTGTCCATTATTCTGGTCCATAGTTCCACAATGTTTGCTACAAGTGTACGATACACAATGACTTTGACATACTCCCAAAGAAAGAAGTCTAGTGAGGTGATGTCTGGTGAACATGGAGGCCACAGAATTGGCCCATCCTGACCAATCCATCATCCTGGAAATGTCTGGTCCAGGAAGCACCTGACCAGCAAACTCCAGTGGGGTGGTGCACCATCCTGTTGAAAGTTGATTTGTTGTTGCATTTCCTCCAGTTCCTCCAAACCACAAACTGCTCTAGCATGTCAAGGTAGACAGTAATGGATAATATATTAGATAGGTAGGTACACATTGAACCTTCTCTTGCACAGTCACCATTTTTCGTTTTTCATGGTTACTCTACTCACTTGGGTGCCATGTGGAAGAAAACACAGTCAATAAAAACTCTTTGAATTGTACTACAAGATGGTGCAAATTGCATTTTTTTAATGTCTATTAGTTTTTTAAATACTTATGTTCAAAATAGGAAATATAATTTAGGAACACCCTGTACATTAAGTGTGAGCATGATGAGACAAAACGAACTCACCAAAGCATTTGTTTCCATTCCCCCCTTTCTTACAGAAAACATTAAATAATTCTGCAGTCTGGAAGAGTGAATTTCATTACATCAGGATGGACTAATGCTGCATGATGCAGATATTCTTATTTCCCATGTAAGGAAAATGTAATTGAGAACAGGTGCATCCTGTTGCATCTGACCATTTTATCAAGTTATCCTATTGCCAGGAAAGTCTTCATGTCTGCATATTCCTTCCCCCTTTTCATGCAAAGGGAGGTTCATATGAAGCCCAATATAGCATGATTCCCGAAAGCCTAGTAAACCTCTGGTATAGTCAGGGAAACAGGTTCAGTTTTCAGAAAGTCAATGGTATGGAAAATGTGTGAAGGGTTGCTTGAAAACAAAGTGAAATTATTGTACATGGGAAGGTGCAGGGTCCCCAATGAAACTGGATGTTTTTTGTCTGGGATTTAACCTGAAGAACTCAGCATTGGAGCAAGTTTTTTAAGAACCTCCTTGGCTCCTACTTTTAGTAGCTTTTAAGCAATAAATCTGGGTTTCCAAGGGTCATCAGTAGTCACTGCAAAATGATCGCTGTTCTTACCATTCCAATTGCCAACTATGCAACTATGTACTTGATCATTGAGTTCCACTTTTCTAGGACTCCAGTGTAAGACTGTTGGAAGAGGGACTGAGTTGCCAATGGGCACATTTTCTTGGTGAAATTTTATTCTCTGCAAAAAGCTTGTTAGCATCCTTATGGTGAGAATGAAGGATACATTTGTTCTGTTTGATTTATTTCACTGAGTTTTCATGGTTGGAAATTTGCATTTTTTGTGCAGTGAGGTTCATGGAGTTTCAGGAGCAAAACAGCCACAATATCCATCATGCAATAGCATCTCCATGCTTCTGGCAATTCGTGACCTGGAAGGGAAAGTCAATGAGGTAACACATCTCATATAGTACCCTGAGTCAGCTTCTCTTTCCCAAGAAATCAAATGAGAAAAGTCAGAGCAAAATTGTCATGTTCTTATGCCTACATTAACTAATAGTGAGAAACTTGGAGAACTCAGAAAATCTCTTCTGAAATAAGGCACTAGTGCTCATTGCAAGTAGAGGTAGGGTTTTTATGTCTAGTATATTCTCAAAGGTTTTCCTAGTTAATATAGGACCTTCCCAGTGCATGTAAAGTAGCTTTTTGAAAACCTATGAAACATTTTAAATTGAATATTATTGCTTGTTTTGACATTTGCATAAAAAATATAGGTTCAAGAATTGCCCCTAAAGTAATGCCTCTAATTTTGTCTTCTACTAACCAATACTAGCACAAGCTCAATAAGTGCACAACAGAAGCCTTGCCATAATAATTTAGCCACTCCCATGAATGAATGCAACTTACCTAACCTTTCATATTTCAGGTGTGATTTAATATAAATAGGATGTCTAACTTGTAAGTGGGCATATTATCAGTTTATACTATCACCATGCTAAAAAAAAAAGCTGATCCTGCAATATTTCTCCACTTACCCTAGTAAACGCAAATGCACATATTCTTCAAGAGGATGGCACTACATGCTACATCTCTTATGTGACCAGAAACTATAAAAGGAATGAAGGCATTCAACTTCTTCCCTGGGTACCCCGAGGCCCAGATATGAATCTGATCATGCACCTGTGGGAGCATCTGGATCCTCAGTTGAAAACAAACCATTCAAGTCCTAACAATATCATGAAATTAAAGGAAACCCCCACAAATATGGGGAACCTGGGCCAGAATGTGCTACAAAACCTCATTGATTTGATACCAAATAGAGTAGGTACTCTTGCTGCAAACTGTGGCTTGACCAAGTACCAAAGTTAAGCTTTGCACGTTATTGCTTGCCTTTATCTGTCTTTTCCTTCATCAAAATAGCACATTGCAATGACAACAGGTGGCAAAATTATTATACCAGGGCTCTGTACCTTCAAATGTTTTCCAAAGTTACAAAACTTTCCATCCCTTGGAAGTCTTTAGTTTTTACCCAGAAAGAACAGCCACTGTGGTAATCCAAAACAGTGGAGTGTGATGATGCACAGAGTATTGATATAATTTCAAGGTTTGGTTAGGGATGTCAAGAGGAATTTTTACCCATTATTGACATGACATTCCATGTCAAGGTTGACTTTTCATGTCATTTAGATAGACCCAGCCCTCTTAACCATTTCAGACCTGAATTTGAGCAAAAATGAATTTTTGAAGGGGTTTTCATACTGATTATTGAAAAGATCTACCCAAATTCCTTTGCACAAATGGAGACAAATTCACTTTTGTGTTTCTATCTAAGAATGTCTCTATCCAGGAATAGCAATTAATTGATGTCTCAAATTTAGAGTCTTACTTTGAGAGGGTTATATGGACTGCCCCTGCCAGAACATCACTCCAAGGGAGTTGTCATATCATTCCATTACTCTTTTCCTCTCCAGATGCTCAAGCAGTTGGCCCTTCTTGATGGAAAGCTTCGAGAGGGTCAATGGGCTCTCAAACATAGGATTTCTGACAAAGGCACCATGACCAGCTATCAACTTGATTTCCCAGTATGAGTTTCCTTCTACTTTTGACCCTGTAGGGACCAGGACAACTTACCTAACTGTTTGAAGAGTGATGATTCAATTGAAAATTCCATTCAATTAGTACTGTAATTTCCTCTCTTTCTTACGTTAAAGGAATCACAGTCATCAGGAGATATATCTTTCCTAATTCGTGGGAAAAATTCATCTGGAGTGTCCACCAATGAAACTTGTGGCAGTGATGATGGTGATGTCCCACTGGGTTTCAGCAACTGTCCATCTGAAGTATGTCTGATAAAGGTGGGCACTTATATGTTTGTCATTGATACATCTCCATTTGAGACAGAATTATTAGTTAATGCAATTTTTCCTGAAATTCATTTGCATTTATGCTCTGTTCTTAAGGGTATTAATTTTCTAATATCAGATATAAAACATTTTCAGCTGTTAAGAACTTTAGTGTCATCTTCATTCTTTTTAGAAACTACACACTTTGTCCCAAAAAAATTTGGAACATTTTCTGATTTTTAGTAACTTGTAATTGGTTCATCATGTTGTTGTGCACTTTGAGGGCTGACTACTACTTCAATGAGGCATATTCTTGTTGAGTTATAACAATATCTGTTCATTGATTCTAGAGATACAGGAGGTAATTCAGAGTGTGACAGCCCTGAGGCAGCACAGCCAGAACTACATGGGTGGCATGTCTCAAAATTCTATTGTGTGCCTCATACACGATGGTTGACATGATGTGTATGGCCATAAGAGCATCATTCTTATCTGCTTCACACATGCAAGAGTTGCTCAAAGCACCCAGCATCAGCTTGTGCACAGGCATGCAAAATCAGTCAAAACCCAAACACTTCACTGTCTGCTCTCTCCTGCAACAGCAGAATGGTGGGTTCCCTTGGTTGCACTGGGTGCAGCCAGGTGCACTGGTCTGCTGCAACCGTGCTTACAATAAGCTGCCAAACTTATACAGGGTGGCCATAAAGTCTAGAAATGTAGAATATATTAAGATAATTTTTGAAAATAACAATTTACTTCATTGGGTTCATCAGCACTTCAAAACTTTACTTCAAATCTGTATTGATTCTACAGGAGAACATTTTAAGCATTAATTTTAGTTTTTTTGTACATTGTCTTAATGTGTCCTGAATACGATCCTGTTTCCAGACTTTATGGCCACCCTGTGGAATGAGTTGATGGATTTTGATAAAACTTTACATGAATGTGCTCATTTGATGCATTAGTCAGCTCTCAAAAGTGCATAGCTATAATGTGAACCAATTACAAAAAGCTGCAAATTGAAAAAAGGTAAAACAATTTTTGGGACAGTGTGTATAATTCATTTGCAACTTGAGCTCCAATGTACAATTGCACTTACTGTAATTTCCTTTGTTTTTTTTTTGGCTCATAATTGGGGACTGTCAATATATATGAATGGTGTCACTGTCAATTGTTCTTGGCATTGGTAATTTCAATAGGCATTATAATTCAATGCTCTGAGAAGTGAAATATCACAATCAAAATTTACTAATTCATATAATGCATAAATTATGATGGGACTCCTCAGAACCTAGAAAGTTAGAGCTAGTGAGAGAGAAAAAAGAGAAAACAGGTACACTGATAACAAGAAACAGGATGACAGAAACCACTCAGTAGAAGCTGGCTGCATTTCTTTCCTATCCACCTGCACTAGCCTCTGGCTCCTTGCATAAGACCACAATGCTGCATAGAACAGATTGTGGATTGTGTCAGGCTCTGTTCTAGGCCTGATGTCATCGTCTGAGACACCTTTCTCTTCTTTCTTCTCCCTATTACTGTTTAGCAATGTTTACCTATTTTTATGATAAATTGATGCTCCATCAGGTGATGGCATTAATGTTCTCAAGCCTGTCATCATGACCATAATCCAAAACTCTGAAGTAGTAGCCTTGATGTTAGGAGCCATGCTAGAAAACAGAAAGGGAATTCAAGGATTCTGAAAATCCTCATCCAAAAAGGGCTTGTGAAAATTCACCTGAAATATCATAATCATGCTGTACAGAGTCTGATTAGGGAAAGTATTGAACATAGTGAGTAAATATATCTGGAAATTAATCATCAGGCTTTAGCAGTGAATGATAAACAGAATGGCTGAAGTTTGACCTCTACTTGTCTTCACTATGAATCGTGTCATTTCATGCATAGAAAGGTATGAAGAGGGCAGGATCAAAGGTGGAAGTGGAGAGTAGTGGAACAAAGAAGTGGGGCTGTTCACTTGAGGAGAAGCCTCTTCAAGAGCCAAAGCAGAGAAACCAGAACCCTGATGAAAAGAAATCCATTACAGGCCCATCAATACATGTAAGTTATATATATGCTTTACCCCTCAACAAGGGAATTTCTCAGATAGAAGTCCATCCTGAAGTGAAAACCTTTTCTTAATGAGAGTTATGATGAGTATTTTCATGCTGAAATTTGCTCTCTTTTTTTTAGTTTATGCTAAAATTTCAAGTTTTATATTTATATTTAACTTAAACTTGAAAACTAGTGTGACATATATGTTCCTCATACCCATTTGGGAAGTGTTTTTGCCTTGACATTTATAGACATCATCTCCAGTTAAGGGGTTAAGGAAGGATTTATTTCATCTTAAATTATTGAATAGTTGCACTCAAAGACCAAAACCTACAAAATTCATTTTCTTAGTTTTTCATGTTATTTTTTAATTGGCTGCATAGGTTTGCACTGAATTCTGGTTGCAATTTTGTTAAACCCTGTCATGTTTCTCAGCAGGATAATGGCCAGACTGGAAGAAGTTCAGGCTGCTCTGAGTCTCCAGTATTCCTTGGGCAGTTCCCCCGGAAAAACCTTGTGAGACATTCCATTTCTTATCTCCTTAATGCTTTGATTCTTTCCAAACCCCTTAGATAAAACTGAAAAATTTGCAAATGACATAAAAATAAATAACTTTTGCATCAGCAAAGAAATAAGTGACAGCCTAGGGATTTAAAGCTTTTGTGTGAATGCATTTAAAAATTGCTAATGAAGTTCAGCAAATGATGAGTATCTGAATGTGTTCGGCAAGGATAGGCTTGGGGAAACAAACAGAATGGTTGAGAGGTTGGTATCAGTGAAGGTTGGTTGGTATCAGTTGGTATGACTAAAATTCTCAGAACACATACAGTCTATGCTAGTTAAAGGCAACATGATCTTGAGTTTCATCTCGCTTTCAGTTGCAAGTAAGTGCTTGCATTTTATTATTTCATTGAACACAACACAGGTATAGCCCTATTAAGAGTACTGTGCCAAATTTTACCCATAAATAAATGGAATTGACTGCCATGAGGAAGGTTCAGAGGCAGGCTACTAAAGTGGTTAGGGAAGTTCAAGTATATTCATTCAGTGGTGTTCTTGAGGGGAATTTCCATATTGACAATTATATCATTGAGGGCTTTGACATGGAAAAGAGATAGGTTTCTCCATCTCTGTGGTAACAATAGAACAAGGGGGAACTAGTTCAAGTTGTATGAATCTTAAGTTAAACTGAACTTGCCAAGTAATGTTTTACTTCTAGATTAGTGAATGGGTGGAATGCATTAGGTGAATATGTAGTGATTGCCCATTCTGTGAAATTTCCATGGGATGAGATACCTTAGATACTTCATGGATGCATGAGAAGAAAGAGGATAAACATAGTTGTAAGTAATCAGACAATAGTTTAGATCAGGGGTTCTTAACCTTTTTGAACCTATGGACCCCCAGATCCTCAAGTATTACCCAAGGACCCCTATCCCCAGTTATCAGAAACTTTGGAACACCTGGATTTGTGATTATAAATGATGTTTTTCAGGAGCTACCTTCAATTATATATTTAATTTTCCATGGACCCTCCACAGACCCCCTAGACCTCCAGGTTAAGAACCTCTGGTTTAGATGCTCCTACCTAAAGTGCATATCTTTAGGGGGTATGCCTATCTTAGATTGGGAAGGATAAGAGGAGCAAGAGGGTAGGAGGATGTGAATATGTGCAGAAGTACCTGATCATCCCAACCCAAATCCAAGTCATGAACCTATGGAAGCATTTTTTTCAGGCATTATTGCTGCTTTTGTGATTATATCACAATGGGATTGGATTTTGTGAGGTGATATCAAAGATGGAGATCTTTCATCTTTTTACTGTGACAGCATATGCCAAGGTTTGTGAAGCTGGAGTCTGTCAAGCAATGCAAGGAGGACCTATCCTAGAACATTGACTGCATGGTGTGGAAAATTCAGTCTGATGTTCATTGGCTGTTTTTGCTGAACAACAAATCCAATATGTGACTGGTGGAGTTTGGAAAAGTCACTCATTCTTATGTAGTAAGATTGAAGTTTTTGAGACCTTAATGATTGCATAATTTGAAGGAACTTCTCCCTTAGTTTCATATCAGCAAATTGTTATTCCCTATTTTTAGTGTTCTTATCTCCAAGGTTCATCTCTCAGAGCATTCTTGATGCTCAGTTCTTTAGGCTTTCATACATGCACAAGTGAATTCAAAAGCAAGTAATTTTCAGGTTGTTGAAAGGTGACTCCAAGTGCTTCCATGTTATTTTCAGATGTGCCTTGTCCAAGGTTTGAATAACCTTGAATGAATTTAACCCTGCAAGTTTCTTTTATTAGCTGGCAAACCCTTCATGTGGCATCACTTGCTTTGCTTGTCACCAATTCTTGTTTTCTTTTTTATGGGCTAGGGTTGGGGTATAATAGTGTAAAGCCCCATTTTGATAATGGAGCTATTGATACGGACAATATCTTACACCTGTCATCTCCACTTGCTGGTGCAACATATTCCATGTGTACAAAATGGCTTTCCTTGGTGGCCATAATTTTCCATGTTACAAGTGTTGGTAAGTGGACTTTTCATACTCTAGTTGCAATTTTCTTGAAAATAGATGCTAATGACTGCAAAATCTTGCATCCAAGAATGATTCATGAATAAAGTAATAATATTACTTATGTGGTCTGAGAAGATACAAAGGACGATGTTTTGCAGTATAGCAAGCTGTCAACAAGATGGAAAATTTGATGTTTTGTTTTCTCACAATATTTCAAATTATGACAAAAATGGAGAGATATTTAAAAGAATTTGGCTGTGGACTCTACCGTTGCTGTTGTAATTCTAAGAAATTTCTTGAGGTCTCTTGATGCATCATAAGAATTTCAGCTTTACATACTAGATCATTCAGTTCCTGGGCAAGTTGCACTAATGCTTTTAGTTTCTTCTCATTTGTTTTGGTAGATTTCAGAATATTGTACCAGTATGTCACTGAAAGTCAATTATCTGTTTTTTACTTTTTCATGCCCTTCATTTTGTGATTTTTTTGTGATCTGTCACTTTCAGACTAAATGTGTCAATTTCATCTAGAAGCAGTTCATAGCTGTCTCCTCTCAAAGGAGACAGGCTTCTTTTTACCGATTATTTTTATTTATATATTGGTTTTCAATTTCACATATTTAGCTGTTCATGTATGAGAAGAAAGTCTCATGACCACTGATTTTTCCTTGCATTTCCTACCGCTTCTTTTCTGTTTTTTTTTTTGCCACATGTTGCAGTTGTGAATGGACTGAACTGTTCTTTCATCTCAGATCTATCTGATTGAATTGTTTTTCCTACATAACCTCTCTTATCCTAAGAATGTGCTTGTATTTGCTCCTGTCATTCCTCACTTCTCTGTATTTTAACAGCAGATCTTTTTTTATTTACCTCTGCTGTTTAATAAACATTGTTTTCTGCAGAGAATGGCATGTTTTCATCTAATGACAGCACTTTTCCCTGATATTGAATCCAATGAGTTTCATTAGTCTGACTTAATCTTGAACCAGCTGATATTTATGAAATCATTGATTTCAATGATATTTCTGTCCCAGTGGGGCCACAAGATTTCTGGGTTCATAGAGAAAGAAATGGAAAGGAGAAGATTGGTAGGACAAAGATGCATGCCAGCTCTCTTTTGAGTGCTTTCCTCAAGGTTGTAGGATACTTGGTATGTCTTGAGATCCTTTATCTGTTTCATGTATAGTATGAGTATTTGCTGCTTTAGCTATTGGGGGAAAAAGGGCAATATCGATACATCAGTAACCACCGGTATCGGCCGCCGGTATAGCACCATCGGCAGGTTTGCAAGCTGCCGGTGCCGATGCCCAAAGAACGGTCCAAGCGAATAAAAAGAAAAAGCACATGTGAACGCTACTCGGTAAATCATTCTGAACGGACAATAGGAAAATGTAGAGTTCTCACGATGCCATTATCATACCATAGTTGGAGAACTCGATAGCTTCATTACCCATCATGGGGTGGTCCCACCACCCCAAACCAATCCCATTACCCATCATTGGGGTGGTCCCACCACCCCAATCTCGGACGAATATGACAGAAGAAGGTCCTGCGCCCTGATCGAGGCAAGAAATGACGATGTCAAACATCCGCCCACCTGTGGCGAGAGATGACTGATTCCGCGCCCCCCACCCCTTGGTGCATCGATGCACCTTCAATAGGTCAGGTCGATAGAACGATTTTTTCAAAGTAGCCATTGTGACAGCCCTAAAAAAAAAGTAGAGCATGCCTTCCCAATAGGCGTATTTGAATAATATGGGTACCCTTGGGCCTACAGAAAATTCACAGGAATCTAGGAGTAAAACCACACTCATTCACGGTTCCTGTAGGAATCGCGAAGGAGTGTAATTTTAATTTACTTATCGCTTTACTCCTAAGTATGAGTGTCACCAGATGGTGCACACAAGGATAAGGTTGTATCAGAGAAGTGAAGATGACGGTTTCCCAGTCTTATCAAACATGCTTAAATTAGTAGCAAGATTTCCGCAGAAGGTCCACAAACCAAAATGCTCAAGTGCTGTGATCCATTGCAAAGTATCTCTCTGTCGCTCTGGGAGACACAACCCGCAACCATGCGATTGCAAAAGTATTTATTCTCCATAAGTCTCAGAAAACACGGAACTTGGGCAGACATTTCGAATCCTTGCTGCTTCTTGCTTGGCTTAATGTACGGTAGTTTAGGATATTCTTGGGTTCTTATTGTCATTCTTGTCCTTCCAGGTCATTTGGTGGCACAAAGATTTTTAACAGCTATGTTATGTATATGCGCACAAATTTTCATGAAATTATGAGGTGGTACCCCATAAAAATCCCTGTTCGATTGGGTGATATGACATGGAATGATTCATATGGTTCTTCGTTCTTTTATCTACATGTCACAATTGGTATTTGCACTAGTGGCGTAGCGAGGGGGAAGTGGTGGGCTTCAGCACCCCCCCCCCCCCTCCATTCCCCATAGCGAAATTCTGGCTGCGCCACTGATTGGCACCGGCACCAGTCGATGGGTATGAGATCATTATCGGCTAAATATGGCCATCGGTACAGCCCTAGAAAAAAACTGTTATGAACAAGCTGAAGGAAAGTGTTATTTTTATCTTCGTTGCGTACTTTTTCACGTTATCCCTTCCGGATCTGTCATCAGAATACAATTTTGAGTTTCATCAGTTTTGTGACGATAGAACGATCATAGTCCGATTAGACCGAATATTCTTCTAATGAAGATTGTGTGTTCCCGTTCTACTGACCTGTAGATTTAAACTATGGGGTGGTGGTGCCTTGGGCAGCTTCAAGCACGTCGTCACCAACGAATAAACCGAATTGAAATGAGTTGGGGAGAAAACGGGGCGAAGCTGCAGGAAAGAGTTTCAAACAGCGGTACGATTGACACTTGGAAATGCAATATGACTAACAGGCGACGGTGATGCCGGCAGACGTGGATATTTCATACCGTCTGGAGGAGAGATAAAAGCGGACCCCAGAAGAGACGGAGGCTGCGGGTGGTCGCCTATTTGACGTTCCGAGTCCCTGGAAGGCGTGGAAAGAGAATGCCATTCTTGCCCCTGTCCTAAAGTCGCTTTCACTTTACCCTCTTCCGATAGTGACGTCTCGTCACGTGGAACGCTTCCATGAGGTCAGACAAGCGTCTGGAATCATCCGAGACGGAAGAAATCGAGCCGAGTCGTGTTTATTTTTGGGTGTCCGTGCGAGGAGAGACGTAGAATCCCGCGAACGAAAATAGAATCTCTTCCCCTCTCGCACGATGGGAAGTGTTCCGAGATAACTCCTTGTGCGCGCATTCACGGCGTCCTACGTCGCTCTCGATCGGGTTCCACGTGGCGAAGGCCGTTTGCACGAGGATCCAATCATGGCGGATCTCCCCTACGAGATTCTACGAAACGAGACACTCGGAAGGTGAGTCCCTTTCCGGAAGAAACTGCACGTACGGTCGAACGAAATTCTAAAGCAGATTTTGGAACGCGTTCAAGTCATCACTTGTCAGCATGTTTCCCTCCGAAAATTCCCCCATTCAAATTCCCCTCGACTAAATTGTGACGTCCGGACACAACGTTGATTTCATCTGACGTAAAAAAAAAAAAATATATATTCTACAGGGCTCGGCAAAAGTGAGGGGACAGAAAATTTGAGGAAATTTAACAAAGTGATTTATTTTTATAGGATCATCGCAAAACCGTCGTATACTGTACTCAACCGCCTTCTCGATGAATTTAAAGCCCGAATTACAACTGCCTACAACGAAAACACTGCCGATACATTTGGAGGCGTATGTGTAGACTTTGAATATCGATTGTATTACCGTCTAGACTCTAGAGCAAGGTGGTGCCCAATTCGAACAGCTACTGTAGGAAACCACAATCTGAAGAAACCAACGGCCCTTTTTAGGACCACCAAAAGCAAACAACCACACCAATTTACATGTCCTGCCATCCAGTGGCCACTTTTAAAATGAAATTCCCCACAATTCCTGTGTTCCCGTACTTTTGGCGCACCTCGTATATATATGAGCAATATGAAGACAGGTTAAAAGTGGGGGAAAGGATCGCCTAAAAAGGGTTCTAGTGACGTGACCGTCTTGCGTTCATCGGTTTGGCAACCTTTTTTCGAAAATTACTTGAATGAAATCTTGGAAAACCTCGGAAGGAGCACGGACATCCATGTCTTGCATTTCCCATTTTTCGGGGCGACTTTCCTTCCTGATTTCAGGTACATGAAGGCAAGGAGGGACATCGCAGCCGGAGAGACGATATTCGTGGACAGGGCCCTGGCCGTGGGTCCCAAGATCTACACCGTTCCCGTGTGTTTGGGCTGCTACAAGCGCGTGGATGGATCCTACCTCTGCAGTCGGTGTCGGTGGCCCTTGTGCGACGAGGAGTGCGAGAAGTCCGCAGGAGCACATCGGGACGCGGAATGCAAAGTGTTCGCGGAGAGCGGCCAGGACTTCCACATGAAGAACTACGAATCCTCGAATCCCATGTACGAGTGCATTCTCCCTCTCCGATGTCTTCTCCTCGAGGAATCCGATCCGGATGGCTTCCAGAGGCTCCTCACTTTGGAATCTCACCAGGAGTTGAGGAAAGGCACGGAAATTTACAGGGCAGAACAGGTAACGAATATTCTTATGTGCACGTGGATTTTGTATCGGAACGTCAATAAATACAAACTAACGGAATTAATTTTGTGTCGCCGTTACGTTACGAGCCCGATCGATTTCATCACTTCGAATTGCTGCCTGGTGTAAGAAGGTGGTGGTCTTTGAATGACGATTGCAGGTGAACGTTGTGAAATACATCCGGGATTACTTGAAGCAAGGAGATCGATGGTCGGAGGACGTGATCCATCGCGTGTGCGGCGTCATCCAGATCAACGCGTTCGAAGTGAGGAACACGACGTTCACCAACTACTGCGGGATCTATCCCTTGTCCTGCATCATGGAACACTCCTGCCTCTCGAACACGAGTCACAGCTGCACTCCCGAGGGCGAGATGGTGGTGCGGTCCACGGTGCCCATCTTGGCGGGCGAGCACGTGTCCACCACCTACGCCTACACCCTGCAGGGGACGCAGCTGCGGCGACTGTGCCTCAAGGCAGGGAAACTGTTCGACTGCAAGTGTCCTCGCTGCGCCGACCCCACCGAGTTTTCCACTTGCTTCAGTGCGTTCCGATGTCCCAAGTGTAGCTCGGACGTCCTGTCCTCGGATCCCCTGGACGAGGACGCCGTCTGGAAATGCCGCTCTCAGGATTGTCCTTTTTCCATCACAGGTGGGTCTATTTCAGCTACTGGACACCGTCATCGTATCGAATGAAAGACCGGCAGCCTTATTTAATTATTAAAGTACTCAATGTCTAATCCCTCTGTGCAAAAGCGCGCACTTTCTCTATTCTCGAAGCAATTCTTGATATGACTTTCTTATGTGAAAGAAATGCACAATCTGATGTAAATTTTAAACGAAGCGAAAAAGGTTGCTTCAATCGATCTATTGGTTCACGCCGGTACTATTTTTCATTGTCATTTGTCCGTCTGTGTATATACGTGGTAGAGACATCAGCGTCTGTGCATGGTCTCCGATCAAGTTCAACGATACGCACGCGACAGATAATCGGCTTGCCTCCTTCCTTAAGTTTGAAGGTCAATGACCATTGAAAAACGCGTGTTACATTGAAAAGTACCTGCGTACATACTGCCGATGAAAGAAAACGTTTGAAAGGGAGAGGTTATATGGCTATCAAGCGTTCTCAAAACGTTTGGGACTAATGAAATCGTGATTCTTGTGATTCTCCCATATTTACACCTGTCCCAGCAATCCAGCCAATTTTGGAATTTTGATATCTTGGGCCACTACTTATAAAATATGTCGACATGACCAAACTCCATGAGATAAGGATGATGTCACAAGCGCCATTGGGCGCATCTCAATTCTTCACGGCGGCAATTCCTCGCTGAAATCATGGTTGCTAGAAGTTCGTAATTGATATTTTTCAGTTCATAGACGTTCCTCAGTGCACCATCACCAGCTAATAGGCCTCATTAAGTAAACAATTGAAATATGATCTCTTTAAAACGTTTATTTCCTGCGATAAAGGAAAATCCAAAAGCTGTGAGAACATTTGGAAGCGTGAAGCTTGTGCGAGAAGCGTAAAGCAGAACTTTTATAATTTACTTGCTGTGAGAAATTTAAATAATTATATTTCTGACTTAATCTAGTTTATTTTAACTCATGTAAGACTCGATCCAAGCCACGCGAACGACGCTGTCCGTCTCGGCTCTTGACGTTTCAATGTGACGGGTGGTATCGATGAATGGACGCAGGCGCGCAAGCGAAGAAGCTGAACGAGGTGATCGGCACGGACGTCGAGCACTGCCGCTCCGACGTGAAGATGCTGGAGGCGCGTCTCGTGAAATACGCGAGCAGCCTGGGGAGGAACAACTGGCATCTCGTCGGGATCGAGCTCCTTCTGTCGCAGGTCTACGGTCGGACGGCTGGGTACATCCTCGAGAACTTGTCTCCGGAATTGTTGGCAAGGAAGGAGGCTCTGTGCAGGCACGTTCTTCGGGTCGCCGACGTCCTCGAACCGGGGAAATCCAGGCTCAGAGGTATCACAGTGCAATATCCTCTTCGTTTTGACATGAATGTTTTAACATAAATTTGTTATATACAATATATATACTAGCGAGTTTGTTCGGCCGAAGAGCAAACTCGCGATGATCGCGCCTTCGACGCTCGACGTTGTAAGAAAATGATGAATTCATCTGAGAAATGCGCTTTTGACGCTCACACCTCCTGAAGTGGTAAACCTCCATCGGTTTTAAGCTTTTTTCGTTGTGACATCAAGTTCCTTCCGGTTTTGTGACGTCATTGTCTACTTGAGGTTAGCCAGTTTGACCCTTTAGCCCGTAAATTTACGGGCTCCCGTATAACAAGCGTCTGCGAAACTTGCCGGTCAAAAGGTTAAGCCAAGGGAGATTCTTAGCTTCCTTGCAAAAGATCCCCCCCTGGAACTTTTTCTTCTTCCAGCACCTTTCATAACACAACTACGTATAAAGACCGTTTTGCTCAAGCAAAAATTTTGGGGGCTCATTTTCTTCCTCCTCAATAAAGATCTTGACAGTGCCATACCCTAATCGTATGGTTTTCTCAGAAACGAATATTCCTGAAATTACATTTTTCAAATGTAAAATTTCGATATCTACTCGTTCCACTGCACCGGAAAAGCATCAGAAAGACACCCACAAAAATGTGCCCCCACAGGAAGTACTCGTTTAATAGGAAATTTCTTAAAATAAGCACTCTAATAATTACAAGTCTATCGAATTTCTCAAGTAATACCTACCTATTTTCATCAATTAAAACATTTTTGTGCAGGACATGGCCCCAAAATTTGTTCCAAAGGGATATATACCGACAATACGGTTTTCCTTGAAGTTAGCACACTGAAACTGACTTTTTTTTCAAGTTTCATTCACATGTGACCGTTCTGCCGGGTCAAAAAGTTTCGAAAATATGGCCCCCAGAAAAATTTTCCTCTCGGGAATCTAGACCTAAGTAAGTTTTTTCCTGGAATTTCCACCTCGAGAGTGGATTTTGTTCCGAATGTTACATTCCTGGCACATATTGCACGTTTTGCAGGAGTAAAAAAGACGTGGACGTAGAAGAAACGTTATCCCCCAAAATGTATCCCAAGGGATGTATTCCGGGAAAAAAATTGTATTCCCAGATCATAACACCCCACCAACTACTTCTAAGTCAAGTTCCAGCTTTCTACATCTGCCCGATATGCTGGAGCGAAATAAAATATTTATTTAAAAGAAATTTACTTCCCTCCCCTCCAAAAAAAAATAAAAAAGAAATTCCCCGAGTGGATGTACCATAAAAGTGGGATTTTCCTTGAAATAATTGTTCATAGAACTACGCGTTTACCGAATTTTAGCTTTCTGTATCTATCCATTTCACTGGAGCAAAAAAAAAAGGAATGGAAATGTCCCCCCTTAGAAACATACCCCCAGGAAATGTATGCTAAAAGTATTAATTTTTTGTAAATCCCCCACCTCAGCAAGTACCTACTAGTATGTACCAAGTTTTTTATCCCTCCGTTTCGCTGAAGCGAAAAAATTTATTGGAAAACGTCAGCCCGAATAATTATAGGGTAGGTGATACAAATTCCGACTCCCATAAACTCAAAATCCGCCCCCTCACCCACGGTTTGAAATTAATTTTGGGGGGATGTATGCCAATTGAGAGTAAAATGCACATACTGCCCATTCACTTTTAGGCACCAAGCACTGGTGTAATTTGGTTAAAAAAAAAGGCTGTTTGTACTTCTGATTACGTTGAAATATGTTGCGTGGGGGCGGACTTTATAGCAGGGTCGGAATTTGTATCACCCACCCTACCCCCAAGCGTTCTAGCTCCATGTGGGATTTATCTCGGGTTCGGTGACCCTAACACCTTCTTGTGTACCAAGTTTCATCTATCATCTCTAGAACATGGTTAGAATTAACGACAGTCAATCAACCACTCACGATTGTCTATATACTGGGTGCGGAGAACAACGCGCCGTTGTTGGAATGCTTATATATGGAAAAACGGTGAAAGCTACTGCTGTTTGTCCTTGGTATGCACCAACACGTTTTCTATTATTTGGAAAATTTTCATAATTTTCCGTACGCTGATTCAACCAAACAAGCACTTTAGAGTTCGTGAGAGCTTATGAAATATCGGAAAATCTCCGCTGGTCCTCGGGGACTCTGAAATGGGGATTTTAAAAAAATTTGCTCGCAACTTTCAAAATGCTTCTGCGGCTAAATCAGATGGAGAAAATTTCTGAAATTTTTTCGACGGAAGACAATACGTAGATGCATGCATCCTGGAATATACATTATTTTAGCAATGACCTCACCTGATACGTGGGTCACTCCGGAAGTGTTTAGACTTTGCTCCTGCAAATGAAGATAAAACATCAATAGCCAACTCATTTGTTAGATGCACTTCTTTCAAGTTGCTTGTGCAAGTTTTCTGTTTCTGCTGGCATTTAGCGAAACTGAAGCGCAACGAGTGGAAGCAATTAGTGACGCCTGACGAGAAACTATTTTGCCTTTCCTTCAACTGATTCATCACTTCTGTGCCTTCTTTTAGAACTGCATGAGGGCCCTCTCACCTGCATGTTGTCTAGATGGAAAGTCCATGGATTTTCCGAGGAACAAGCCCTTTTCAAATTGCTAGGTGTTCAACTGGAACCAACTCTTCAATTGAGGGTAAGGTGATTTTGACTGGAACCCGGATCTTAGCGTCCTCTGACAGCGGTGACTCAACCAAATGTTGAAATCGTGCGCCTACCGATGAGGATACTCATAGGGTTCATCTTTCATTAATAACTTTATATTACAGTGACTGGAATGATTAGATTTTTTTTATTATCGAGTCGGCGCTGTCGGAAGGGACCCAGTCACTTGTCCCTTGTCATTCTTCCCGCTCTGGAAAAGGCGATTCCACTTGGACAGCGTTGCACATGAAGGGACTTTGTAGCGTCAAGTTCAGACTTCTCATTCAGGCAAACATCAACTGAGAAAGTTCTCTTCTGGTTGTGGAAAATTATGAGTAATCGCTGCTCACGGGATCTTCATATTTGCTTCCACTCAAATTGCTATAATATTACGTATCGAAGAAAGTGGATGAAACATACACAAGCAGCTATGAAGATGTCCAATCAATCAATGAGAGGGCTTGAACAAGCTTTCGTTCATTTCTTGGAGGAAAGAGGAAAACGTATAGGCCTACAAGTTCATTCGGCGGCGAGTTTTTTTCTCACCCAGTATTATTAGATGTGTCCTAAGGGATAGCTCTGTAGAGACATTGGTATCATCTAAAACTAAGTGTTTCTCTGTTGGTTCACTCTCACTAATTCCGATTGTGATAGCACATTGCACAATGCACAGCTAGATGAGTACGTTTTTTTGTCAATAGTGTGCGTTGAGGCCCGATGGAGTTCCGTCTCGTTCCTCGAGCTAAAAGCTCGGCTGGATCGATTGCCAATCGACATGGTTGGCGCATCTGACTTAACGAGTTCCAATCAAGTCGCGTATGTATAATATTTGCTAAATTGCAATCTTTCGGTGGAATGAATAAGTTACCCCTGCCCAACAGTACCTTAGTGACGACGCTGAACCGGCTTGGTGCTTCCACTTTTTATTCTGCATCTTACAACGTCGGACTTCTACAGTAGTAACTGCCTTCTCTTTCGGTCGTCTTCATAGATATCCGCTCTGGGATTCCGTTCCAGCTCTAGGTAAGTCTATTTTTTTGGCTCAGTATGCAGGAAACGTCATATACTTGAACAGCATTTACGTGTTGTAAGGGCAGAACGAGAATGGAACTCGAGGAGCTGGCATTTTTTTAGACGCGAATCTTCAGCCCAAAGCAATTCATCGCAAGGAGGAAAACGAAAAAGGCGAATTTGCGGAATCAAGAAATGCAACCACCTTATAAGCTAGAGAGACCGAGGCGCAAAAAGATTTTAAAGGAACGATGAACCTCAAATAATCCAGAGAACGACTCACTGCAACAGGGATTTTTTTCGCCTCATCACTTCGGTTGTGGGAACTTTAAAAGTAGCCAACAAATGGTTGCTCAATTATTTTACTGTAGTTTTTAACCGATGACTCCAGATCTCGTGCATCGATTGTTAGAAAACGTCAAATAAAGTTGCTAATCATGATCGGCAACTTTACCAAGCGGTTTCCGTCGTACGTGACCCGATGGAAGAAACGAGATGGGGATCCCCATGAAAGTTGAAGAAGATGTCGAAAAAGAAGCTTCTTGGACGGAAGTCAGTCTGAGTTAGACCAAGTTTGTCTCAACCTGGAATCTCTTTATCGACGTCTCAGCGTCCACTCCATTTTTCTTTATCGGTCAGTGTCTCTCACCTGCTTTCACCATACCCACAGAATATTTGATTTGTCTCTCATCCTCGAAAGCCTCACATCACTCTTCTATATTCTTTCTCATTCCTTATTCTTTTCTGTTTTGCCTCCTCCCTGACTTCGATGTTGTGCACTGTTTGCCTTCTTATTTTTCTCTGTGCTGTGATCGTATTATTGGGTAATACATTCTGGGTTCAGCTGACAATATTGTGGCACTTTTGTGATTTTATCGAAATAAATGAATGGTGATAGCGATACTGACAAATTTGATGAATGCGAAGGGATTAACTCAAGGGAAAAAAAAAAACTTAATTCACAGCTCGACCATCTCCGGTCCTAGACGTACTCGATTTCTATTTCGGTTTGTGCTGGGACGATGAATTTGGTATATGTTGAAGGAATGCTGATGTACGAGCTGCAAGCAGCTCTCGTCATGCGAGTGACCAGGGATTTCCAGGATGGAATCGTGGTCGCTGAGCCCCTCCTGAAATGCTTAAAGGAAGCGCGAGGTTACCTTCAAGAAGCCCAGGACATCCTCACTCTGGAACCAGAATGGACGCGAGAAGGAACCATCGGGCGATCGTGTGAAGCCAGCCTCCAAGAACTCCAATCCTGGATTGACGGTGTTGAGAAACAGGTCGCTCGAGCCGACCGACAGCAGCAGTTGCTGGAACAACGCCAGGATCAACAGCAGCAGCAGTAGCCTCGGCAATCTTTATGGTGATCTGTGTTGGATCGTTCTACTCTTTGCCATTGATGTCTCTTCGTTGATGCATTCGTAATTGTCAACCAATCCACGTGGCTCTTATACTACATATCATACTCAGGTGTGGTCATTAATTTGTACCGTGATAATGGATTGTGAATTTGTATCGTGGTAATTGACAATTTGTACCTCACCTACTGAAATTGTATTTTCTTTGCAATAAAAAGGTGTTGTTTTTACGTGGAAACGTAAAAGTGTAGTTTCTGTATGATTATTGGGACTTGAAGTAGGAATATATGACAGTACGTAAGAAGCTAAGTGTGGTCGGCTTTATGAGTGCTGATTGACTCTGAATGACATTAATGAAAGAGATGAACCACTATATGTCGACTTGGCCTAAGGAATGGCACAGTGGGCATTTACTAGTGAAGGGGAACAAGGATTGGAGGGAGGGAAGTCACAGGTTACAGAACTGTCGAAGTGGTGTAGCCTATACAAGAAAAAAGGGGAAATAAGGAGAGAAAAAGGCTCCTGCTAGCCAGAAAAGGGATGATTTTCGAGCCATAACAGGAGTGGGGGAAAAGAGGCACATGAAAGATAAGCAAAGAAGCACTCAAACTGGGGTAGGTATTCAGTCATGCTTCCTCTTGACTATAATGTGAGCAGGTGATTAAACAGCGTGATCAGAAAAAAAACTAGTGGTTAGTGATGAGTCATGGACGTGGAGGGATGGCATTCCATCTGGATATCCCTCATACCAGAAAGTTATGTTGAATTTAACAAGTTTGCTGCCTGTCTCTGGATTTCGTTGAAGATTTTGAAGTGTGTCGTGTAGGGGTGGCTGGGATGCTCGAATCGTGCATGAAGTCTGGGAGGCAGTAGGTTTCAAGACTGAAACCTTAATGAGCCAAGCCATGCCCAGTCTAGCACCATGTATACAGTACGAGTTAGACCAGCAATGATTGAGTTCATCCCTATACCACGTAGCATCCTAAAACTTCACGGGGAGAACTTGGGTCGTGTTTAACACAATGGCATTCCTGATCAAGGATCCCCGCAAAGAAAAGACAATGAGGGCCGCGGGCCAAGTAGATTGATTCAACGCGCTCTAAGAGATTCCGTGTGGATATTCGGGATGAGGGGGGGGGGGGGAACGAAAAATATACAGGTATTGCAGGAATTCTTGCGTGGATCGCTCTCGGTATTATTTTTCACTGAATACCACCTGTGTGCGGCACGCTTCAACCACCAACCACTTTGCGGTCGATTTTCGTAGGCTGTTACGAAAAATCTACTTCCATGATTGTAGCACCACTTCTTTACCGCGACGATCGCTTCGATAAACGATCTTGGAAACAGTGACGAAACTTTCTTGGCGGAAGGCTGCTGCGATTTTTGCGATCACCTGAATGGAAAAAGTGGACCTATTTCTCGTTTATGGGGGCGATACGGTCCCGAAAAAAGTCGTCATCTCCAACGTACCGGTCCGAGGTTAACTGGGAATTGGACTCACTTTATCGTTTGTGATCGTCTGTGAAACGGCGTGGTACCCATCGGGCCGACACTTAACCGTGACCGAGGTCCTCGTGGACGATTGCAAGGAACTGCGGTTGAGTCCAGAGGAAACGCACAGTTGTTTTTCTTCAACAATTGTTAAGAATGACGTAGAAGCTGATTTTGCTGAAGGTCGAGATTTCTTTCGGCTATCATGAATGCCATCAGAGAGTAACAATCGAATGAGAGTTTCCATAACGAAAAGAGAAAATAAGAGCTTACCCATTAATGAATTCCAAGAATGCGACACGACGGAAAGTGGAACTCCGAAACGCGGCGTGACGCAGGCCCAGATGACATGCACCACATCATTTCATCGCATTCTACTTTTTCAATCTTTGTTGTCTGGTATCTTTCAATTCCTTATTTGTTCTTTAAAAAATACGGCTTAACACTACATTTATAATACACGTAGGGTAAGGGTCTTTTGATGGATATCGTGATGCGTGTGACGCCTCCACGGAATCAAAGGACAGTGGCGCCGCTTTTCTCTAGCAGCAGAAATACGAGTATCAGCTGTAAGAAGAGGAAAAGTGAGCGCACTGACGCCACGATGACATCGCGAGCCACGAATCAGTGAGGAAGGCGGGAGTCCAGCCCGCCGCAATTCTTTTCATCCCCCTCTCCAACCTCCAACTTGAGTAACGCATGGCTCTTCAGTGCTATTGCGCTCAAAATTCATCCTCCTTTTCGAGTAGCAAAGGAACAACGATAGAATTCAATCTCGTGATCTTTATTACAGAAAATGTCAATCCTCATTTAGAAAATAATGAAAGAGATCAACCGAGAGGTGTGGGGCCGCTTCTCGCACTGTTTCAACAAAAGAAACATTCGTGTGTGCCATAATTCATATTCCAGAAGGAAAATATGCATCATTTCTCATTCAAAGGGCTTATTTGATAGGGCAATAAATAGGGAGCCGGTTGAGAGTGTTCTCTGTAGCACAATTATTCTACATTTCACTCTCCGCATCCACGTGAATCTCGGTTGAAAGGATGAAAACGGTTTTGCGGACCTTTTCTGTGTATATCGCGGCTTATTTTGGATTCGGGTTGCGAATCTGTAAGCGAATCATTCCCTCCATTTTCATGTACAACAGAAACACGTAAGAAAAACATTTAAAAAAATGGAGAGGAAAACCTGTAGAAGATTCAACAAGAAAGCAGCCTTCCCGAACTCCATGCGAAAAATTGAGGATATCAGAAACCATTCTGTCTCTCCTCGATCAGAACAGCATGTTTCATAAATGAGAAGATAACGTTGGACAATCGGGTAACGACCGGTCGCGGTGCAATAAAAATGGGACAACAAAGAGGGGAGAACCTAAACTCACTCCCGCATTTAAGGAAGTTTCGATTCTACCGTTGAAGAAAAATCATGTTTTCTTGTCCTAAAACAAAAGAACTAAATATTTCCCTGGTAAGCACTAATGGTCACATTAATGCTTTCTTATACAATACACAGGAGGTCTAAACGACTTTTGGACGGTAAGGAGCTTTAGTTACAGTATTTTTCACTGTAAAGTGAAATGTAGGTGTCTTTTTGGTTTCTCTTCAGGTCCCATGAACTTATAAGCATTGCTTAGCAATGGAATTGCTTCACGACCCTCTCCCCTTCAGCTTAAAACAATAACCCATGGTATATATATCGATAAAATGGAGTAATTATGGCTCTCGAGGGTTTCACCTTCACGCGTCGAAACGAAGAACGAAGAATTAACCGCAGACGATTGGAATCAGGAGCCGCGGGCGCGTAAAAGGCTTCTCTTGGCCAAGAACGGGTGCTTGTAAGAGGCCATGTAGAGGGTGCCCTGGTGGTACTGGGCCTCGCTGATGCGATTCGGCACGTTCCCCTCCATGTGCCACTGGGTCATCTTCCCGTCTGCCTCCAGCTCCACCACCACTCCCAGGTCGGAGTTAAAGGGCTCCAGCATCTCCAAATTGCAAACCTAAGGGGGTGTCGGAGGTTTCACCACCGCAATCGAGTTTTTCCATCCGTTAATCTCTCTTACCATCTGATGAAGTTCTAGCCACCTTAACCCATTCCGTACAGGGAGAGAAAAGGCTCGGGCATCGTCTCATTTCTCTCTAAGGAGTCGTAAATTTGAACTTTACAACGCCTAATGTGACTGCGAGTTATTTGCTCTGCTCTAATACTTTATAATCCAACCTAGATTCTAGAAATCCCCATCTTAGCGCTTTCATTTGAAATGATGCCCAATGCGCTAGCAAAAATACTTCAGTCGAGAATATACACTTGAGTCGAGTGCCATTAAACTAAACTGATGGTCTACCATCCGTCTGAAAGGGAATGAGAATCCAAACTGCCTTTTTCACCTCTTTCTGGCGCGATGACTTAAAAACAGTCATCGGGAGTCCTATCTCATCTTGCGAAAGTTAAGGTATTTCATGTGACTCCTATCATTTTCTCATAACGGCAGTAGGTCGGAAAAAAAAAAACAAGTCGTAAATAAGCAGGGATTGCATTGCGGGATCATAACTACAATTCAGGGCGGCCCTGAAAAATTTTCTCAAACTTTCACTGGCTAGGCAACCATTTTCCCCAACACGCCCTTCCTACTGCCTATTACGAGGTGCGTTCAAGTTCTAAGGTCTCCTAATTTTTTTCTGACAAACTACTTACACCAGAAAGTTGAAACTTCTGTCACTTCTCAACATAATCTCCCTGTAGACAAACACATTTTTCACAACGTCGACGCCATGACTCCATGGCTGCCGCGAACGCTTCTTTAGGGGTCTGTTTTGCCCACTGGAAAATCGCTGATGCAATAGCGGCCCGACTGGAAAATGGGCGGCCACGGAGAGTGTCCTTCATCGTTGGAAAAAGCCAAAAATCGCTGGGAGCGAGGTCAGGTGAGTAGGGAGCATGAGACACCACTTCATAGTTGTTGTCACGAAGAAACTCCTGAGTTAGGATCGCCCGATGAGCAGGAGCGTTGTCTTGATGGAAAAGCACACGTGCAGCCTTTTCCGGTCGTTTTGCTTGCAATGCTGGAAGGAGCTTCGTCCTTAAAACATGTTCGTAGGATGCAGCCGTCACCGTAGTGCCCTTTGGAACACAATGAGTTAGGATTACGCCTTCACTGTCCCAAAACATGGCCACCATCATTTTCTCCGCACTGGCGGTAACCCGAAATTTCTTCGGTGGCGGTGAGTCAGTGTGCTTCCATTGTGCCGACTGCCGTTTCGTTTCAGGATTGAAAAACGGCATCCATGTCTCATCCATTGTGACAATTGATGAAAAGAAAGCACCATTCATGCCATCATCGCGTGTCAACATCGCCTGACAAATTGTCACCCGCGCAGCCTTGTGTTCGTCGGTCAGCATTCGGGGCACCCACCGTGAAGACACTTTCCGCATTTTCAGGTCTTCATGCAGGACGGTGTGCGCAGATCCCATGGAAATGCCCGCTTTGGAGGCGA